GCACCGTTAGCAGATGGGCCATGTCTGCACTACCTGCATGACCATGGTGTCCTGTAGAAACATCTGCCTGTTACAGTCCTTTCTGGCTTCTTTCTGGGAGCTTGGAAAGCTTAGTAGCTATGAGTAAAACAAGTTCCCTAGAGAGGAAGGATGTGAATGCGCAGAAGTCTAACTGAAAATGAAATTTAATTCTTCTTTGTGGGTGAAATAGAAAGCTATTACTTTCTGTGCTCCTGGAGGATGCATTTCTGAAGAGAAGATAATTTTCTGAATTGTCTTAAAGGCTTGCAAATAAATTGCTCCGTTTCAGGCTTTATTACAGTCTTGAGGTTCAGTAGGAAGTTGCTAAAACATCTGAACAATGCTGATTAAACATTTGCGTGAACCTAGTGGAAATCAGATTCCACATAAAAGTCACGTAAATATTACTGGCAAAACAAAGGCATTGGGTTTTGCTTTGGCATCATGGACTGTATTTGGGGGGAATGAACCGCTGCTCAGCAATGAAGAGAGCAGGGCACATCCCAGGAGCGATGTGCTGAGCCTGGCACCGGGCTGAGGGGAGCCAGCTTCCACATACTGCTCAGCACAGGAAGGCAGGTGTGAGCTGAAGGCTGCCCCATAGGGCCCTTCCCATTTGGTTCCCCTTAGGGGAACACCCCGAGGAAGGTGAAGGACAGGACAAGCAGAGCATTACTTAACAAGGACAAGGAAAAGGCTTGCTCAGCGTGTGGGCAGACAACCATACCCGCAAGGTGTAATCTAGTTCTTCTCATCCGTGGATCTTTTCTGCAAACATGATCACCCACTATCCTATTTTGCAGACAAGGAAATGGAGTTACAAAGGTTAGATCAGTTACAGAAGGACCTTCACAACTGCCCAGCACCACAAAGGCAAAGCCAGAAATAACGTTATCGGCGTTCAGTGATTTATTGACAGGGCCTAACTCCACATTCAGTGGTTGGCAACAGTCTCCATTATCTCCAGCTATTAGAGCAGGAGGCCAACTGCTGAAAATTTCAGACTCGTTCCTGCTAGTGAGCCATATGAAATGCAGCCACTGGGTTTTGGTACAGGTTGTGATCTGCAGATGTCATGTCTGGTTTATTTGGAAGACCTGTCACCTGAGATTTGCTGCGAACTCCCCGCGTTGCAGACATACGTACCCAACTCCTGCCAGCATGGCCAGGTATACCAGGCCTAACTGCATGAGCCTCTGACCTCAGTAGCTAGTTTCAAAACACTGGAAGTCTGAAGCACTACATTATTTTCTCCCCTCTTTTATTGCACCATTTATATCTAGCTTCTAAAAATAACGATAGAAAACAGTAGCCACTTGTTGCTAGTCAGTAGCTAGTCAGTAATAAGGAGCACAAAGCACAGAATTTACAGAAGACATTTCTAATCAAAAAGTACTTCCCATTTTCTTTTTCCTGTGGGGAAGAAGCCTTGCAGACTTGCATAAAGGAAAATTATCAGAAATAATTGCCTCTTTTTTTTGGTATTCTGATAGAAACAGATATTCACATCTGTGATTGAGTTCATGCATCCTAGTTTCCAGAGCTGGGAGAAGTGTCAAATGTGCAGAAGTTCCTGCTTGGCACAGCTTCTGCTGCATTTAACTCTGGTACCAAATAGCACTGGGAGGAGGAGGGTGTAGGGAACCCAAAACAGGCTCAGGTTGTCAACTTTCCCCAGAAGTCCCAGCCCAAAGGGGAGAGCCATTCATCCAAATGTAGTTTTCTACCTGATTTCAGGGTAGGCTTCACTTCGCTAAGATCCAAAACTCTTTTAGACACCTAAAATAGGACATACGAATCATGTGACTTTTGCCCCAGACTGTGGGCTGGAGATCTGGACAACTAGCACATATAAATCCCAACAGGCAAAGGCTGCTTTCAGCCTTCCCTTCAGGGCATCACTTTTTGGCTGCACCATCAGCTTGCACAAATCCCCAGGTGACATTACTGCTGGTCCAAAGAAGATCCTTTTTCCAGTGCCGCTGTGCTGCAGGTGGTTCTTCCCCATTTGTCCTAAACATTAGTAGCTCCCTCAGCTCCATGTCTTACAGCCTGCACCCCCATCATCTGCTATTTCCCCTTGGAGGTAACCTGGCTCCAGACTTCCAGCCTGTATCTGTACTGCTAAATAACAACAGGGCCAAGACAGAGGCCCAGAGACCCACAGTGGGTCACATCCACGCTGCATAGACTTGGTCCTGCGTGTCCTCTGGGATCCATGTAGTGCTGTGTGGCCTTATTGGGACAGGGAATGATGTTTAATTCAAAATGCCTGAAATCATGAGACTTAAAGCACATCATATGATTTCAGCAGAGGGATGATTTTATAGCAAGTGCGTGTGCAATCTGTGCGCCACGCAGCATGGCACGAGGGCAAAGAGGGGGGTTTGAGGAAGGAAGGCTTGCAGGAGGCTGTCAGGGGACTGAGGAGGGAGGCAGATGCTGCACAGAGCCTTCCATCCTGCCTGTTAGGGATGGTTTCTGGACCATCTCCTCACCACAGACTGCCAACCAGCACCGCTCTGCCACGGCAGGCAGCAACCTGCCAACTGTGCCATGTGCATAATTACTGCCAAGTGCTTAAGCTCACTACTGGATGTTGTCTTATTTAACTATATGGACACAAAGTCTTATCCCCAAAACACGTGCCCTGAAAAGGACTGTATCTCAGCAAGAGAGGGACTAGCTCTAAAAGGGCAGGTAGCCTTCCTACCCCAAAAGCCCAAATCTCATGCGTACTTTTGCCCTTACTTTCTCCCTCCCTCCATTTCCCGTCTGCCAAAAATGGATAACAGCAAACCAGGGATGGGGCAATCAGTTCACTGCAGTCCACAGAACACGGAGATGGCAATAAGCACCAGGCTAAAGCTTGCCCAGAACACTAGTTCTGCTTTCACACACAGGAAATACGCTGAAAACCCTACTGTGAATAACAAGAACAGCCTCCAACACACGCGACTGGGTCCTGTGCTCTGTGATGCTGCTTTTAACTCCAGTACGGATGCACAAAGGGCATGAGGCAGTAACCTGGGTTCATCCCACCACACTTCAAACATGTAACTCAAGTCCAAACGAGTTATGAGCTCAGTCACCCCTGATTTCCGCTGTTAATGGAGAGAAATGAGGCACAACTTCATAAGATCCACCTAAAACCTCGATCAGGTTAGTTAGCTACAGTGAAGAAGGACTAATCTAGAAGTGAACTGGAATTGAAATTATCTTTTCAGGTTGTTTTTCTGAGAAGGGTCGTATCTGAATGATGCGGAGCCAGCAGCATGCTGTACATGAATGTGCCAGTGTACAAAGGAAACAGGCAGCAGAGATGCTATTTAAAAAAGTTAAAGAAATCTATTAGGTTTTTTTTTTCCAGGGAAAATGTAAAAGACTATCAGAGAAAATCAAGTGAAAGTTTCTTACACAATCCCTTTTTACATAATCTGAAAAACTATTAGCAATTGTTGGCAAGGCATTTACAAAATCCGGCGCTGTCCTGTGATAAAAAAAAAAAAAAAGAGAAGTTACTGAATAGCATTTGCAAAAAGTTTTGAGCAGTCCTTTACTTAAGAACAGACCCACCTCAAAGCAGAGCTAAGTAGGTTGCTCTGTTGCAGGTCGTTACAGATTTCTTCACCTGGCGTTGCTTATAAAAAGACCAAAAAAGGGTATCGGTATTAACAGTGAATAATATATGTGGATGTTCCCTGCCATCTTTTTGATAGTGTTCTTACAAAAAGGTTTCTAGAAAACAGCAGAAGTCTTTTCAGAGGCCGTCCCCACTGACCTGGAGCAGCTGACGCTGCGAGAGCTGTCGGGGAGACACAGCAGCGTTTCGGGTGCGATGGATTTTTAGGTTTTCCTTTTTCTCCAAATGCTCTCAACAGATTTGTGATGGATTAAAGAAATGATTTACGACTAGATGATGGGGGAAGAAGAGTAAAACAATTACTTTAATTAGCATAAATAATTCATCATTTGCTAGGAAAAATATCAAGCTACTAAATTTGTTTCAGGATACATAGAAATATGTTTTCAGGGTGTCTGTTGGAAGATCTGCTCATCAGAGATTAGCTGCAGAAAATGGCCTTGTTTGAGATCAGCGATCCAAGACCTTCATCACCAGTGATGTCACAACTCAACAAAGACAGGGTTGTGTTTATAGACATGATAAGCTCAATGTGCCCATTCACTCTTAGTTACATATTTGATGAAAATACAAACAATATAAATTGCTCACTAAAAAGAAAAGCTGACCTCATGGCTCTTAGTGAGTTCCTCTTCACTGGATCCCGGCTCTCAAAGCAGAACCTGTGTACAGCTCCAGGAACACAAAGAAGCCACAAACCCGTTCCACATTATCTCTGCATGGAAAAATCTCCAGGTAGTGTTGGGAAGCCAAGAGAAATGCTTCGTGCTGCTAATGCCCAGGGTACACACCCTGCAGGGAGCAAGCGCTTGCAGAAAGGCCCCTGGGGACACCTAACCAGCCCTTGGGGACACCTAACCAGCCCTTGGGGACACCTAACCAGCGTAAGCATGTGCTGCTGCGAGCCATCATGAGCCAGGCCAAGTCAGAGCAGCACCGAGGCTGCTTTAAGGCTTGCTAAGAGAACACCAACACCCTGGCAATCACAAAAGCTATCCTGGGCCCCCGTTATTTGTGTTCGATTCCTCTATTGAGTACCACTCAAGCTGCTTTCCTACCTTTAGAGACACATACAGCACAGGAGAGACGCCCTGGTAACACGCGAAGCTGCCACAGGTCAGAGACCACCAAGACCAAAATACTCAGTGAAAACCAGCGACCTTCAAAAATTCCAGAGGAAGGTCTCTTGCAGCATGACTGAATCTACATTCCCTCTGATCCGGCTGCAGTGCTGAGGGCAAAGGCTGCATCTGGCCAGAAATTTTCTTCCAAAGCTTTTTTTTTTTTTTTTTTTTTTTTTTTTTTTTTTTTTTTTTTTTTTTTCCAACAGACAGCATACAATTTATATGAAAGATTTATTTTATCCAAAGACAAACCAGAGTATGTTTCAGCCAAATACTTTTCCAGGTAAACCTCTGCTCTTTTGAAAAAAAATATTTTTCTTTGGAAAGCCAAAATCTAGATAAACTTGGCTAAAGTGAAAAACTGACAGTTTCCCAGAGTTCAGTTGCTGAGAATGAAAAAATCCCATTAATTTTTATGAATTTTATTTTTGATTAGCATTTTCCACAGAGGAAAAAGAAATTCTCACCATGTCTAGGTTGGCGTTCGCTTACCCAGCAAGCTCCTGGTCCTGTTCTCCCCATTATAGCCCCTCTCTCTCTTCTCTTTCCACAGCCAAGATTGTCACAAACTTCCAGAGTAAAGACCAATAAGACACTTAAATGGGGGCTTGCTTCTGAGGAGCCGTACGTGACCAAAAGTAATACTGAAAATAGCAATAGTAATTGGAAAAGAAAGAAAAGTACTTGCTTTGGTCCAAATTTCTTCCATGGCTCTCTGTTACCAACAGTCGCCACACGAATATGGAACTTTCCTAGGCCTTGTGTCTATTTGCAGCTAAAAACATCGCAGCTCCCCAGGTTCCTGGTGTGCACATGTAACTGCCGTTTCTGTAATTACCATTTTCAGGATCTGTGAAGGCATTTTGGCACAGCGTCATCTCGCAAAAGTGTAAGTACAGGAAACTTTTTTCAAGGATTCAAGCAGGGAAAGCTCTATGAAATAGGAAGGATTTAAAAATCTGCGGCAGTTTAAAATCTGCAGAAAGTTAAAAAGTGCCAACGGGGCTAAATATTGTTCAGGTGGCAAATCACATGTGGCACGGCTTAGTTTGGAAAACTACACTGTGATTTTTGAAGAGTAGCACAATGGAACACAACATGACCTTTTTACCTATGTTTCATGCGGAGGGACAAGCGGGCGGCGTATGAGACATCACACAGCTCTCATGATCTCTCAGCTGGTCAGCCTCTCCTCGGCGGCACCGGCGGTGTCACATCCTGGCTGAGGTCAGGTCCCCAGGGGCATGCCCCTCCTCACTCTGTCTTCAGTAAAGCATCTTCCATCTGACACCAAACCGGAAAAGAAAAAGTGAATACTTTCTCAGTGGCCCAAGTGAAGAGGAAAAACATTTGCTCGTGACCTGGGTCTTGAGAAATTTAAACCAGATCAATCCTACAAGGCAAGCTCTCTCCCTCAGGAGCAGGGCAAAAGACACGCAGGGTTAAAGGCTGTTCCTGTTGCAAGCAGCATGAGTTACATCCATGGTATTGGAGACTGCCCCCAGAAAGATACTGAGGAGGGATAAAGCATCAGAACGATAGCATTTGGTGTTGCCTTCCCCACGGAGTTCGTTACAAAGGGTCCAAGACAAACCTTAGCCCAGAACATACTAGTGATCATTTTTTCAACAAAGATTTTATCATCTTGATTTTCCAAAGTCTGCATTTTTGTTCAATTGTGGCTTTCTCTATCAAGAAGAGGAGTGAAGAACAGCCTATTCTTTTCAGTCACTCAGGAGATAACTGTATCTTTGAACGTGCTTCCATTTCATTCTCATACGTAGCACCACCAGAAGCATCACCTAGCTGAGTATGGGGAAGGTGCTCTACCAGATTGCAAAGCATCATTAAATCCACCCAGTAGCAACAGTGGAATGAAACTCAGCAGTTCCCAGTTGACAGCAGCAGAATGGCAACTGGAAACAGCCAGCAAAGACCAAAATGTCTTTAGGGTGATGAGGCTCCAGTTAAAGGATGTTGAGGCTCAGCTATGATGTGGCCTGAAAAGGTTCATGCAGCAGCTCAGAACACAACTGAAGTAAAGGTACACAGCAAGCAGGGAGCAGCAGGGGCTTTAGGGCACTAAAATAAATTTCCTTTTCTTGATCATGTGAGAATCAGGAGACCATCCTGTGACTGGTGAGCCGTGACACACCACCCATCACTGAAAAACAGAAAAAAAGAAACAAAATCAGAGCGACAAAAGCCTGACTGAATCTGTGTGCTCAAAAGTAATTGCTCACATGTTAGAGGGGGGACACGCACGCCCAAGACAGACTTGGAAGAGTAAAGGTGGAAAAAGAAAATTGCAATTTGCTGTTGTAGCCCCCAGATTACACACTTCTCAGTTACCCTTATTATTGGTAAATATTTTGACAGCTCTTCAGTGTGATAGATTTCAAAGGGTAGACAGCAAGCCCTTGCCATAAGTATCAGATCAGCCAGGGCTCACAAACAAGGCAGCAGAGTCAGGGAGTGAGAGAACGGGAAGCTCACGGACCAACTTCTGCACTTTCTGACAGCAATGGCAGAGCTGAGAGATTTCAGCAACTGATTTCCACAGGCAGGAGAGAGGGCTCTTGGGAGATCTGTAGTGGGAACCCTGCTCTAACCCTCCTTCCTCTTCTCTCTTTTCCTAGTGGAGGGAAAAAGGTGGAAAAGAGTTGGGGGGGGGTGGGGGGAAGATGAAAAAATCAGGCAGATATAACTGGATCCAGAGTGGAGGCTGGTGATGAGAATCTGCCGAAAAACAAAGAGTTTTAAGGCATCTATTAAAAAGGAGAGGAGGAAGCTAACATAGAAGTAAAAGGAAGTTTGAGGTGTGAGAATTTGCATGTCTGTGTATTTATATAGATGGTATTAGCAGGATCTAAAAAGAAAGAGCAGAAGCTGGAAATTCCTGCGCGCATTTCAGAAGATCACACATTCCCAAACATTATGCTGCGTGTGAGGTTTTGACACCTTCAGCATCTCCAGCAGGAGAGAAGTTTGCCGTAAGTATTGGAAACTGCTGAAGAGCCAGTCAACTGACTAAGAGCAAACGACAGCTGGTTTTCTTATTAAACATTATGTAAAACATTAACACATAGGCCTGTCATGTTAAATCCTCCCTCGGGGTACTTGGCCTCACAAGGGTAAGCCTAAAGCAGCTTTTGGTGGAAGCAAATGAAGCCAGCAAATCTGTCCCGCAACTGCGTCCGAGAGCTAAAACACGAATGAGGCTCCAGCAGAGGCTGCAATCAGCTACAGCAATCAGCTGCTCGGCCCCTCTTCCCTTCAGGATACGTTTGGGATGTAACGAATTTACGTGCTTGGGAAGAAGGCAGGAGGAAAAGCTCCGGGGACTCGCCTGCAGCAGCGTTAAGTTTTCTGAAGGGCAAGTCCTGTGGCGCTGGTGACAGAGCGAGGGGGTGGTTCCCATCACTCGCAGCGCTGGGGCTGGCAGAGGGGGAAGAGGGAAAACCATCCCAGGTGCTCAGGAGGTGAAAACTGCACTAGGAGACCCGCAGCAGTGAAGGGGGAGAAGGTGGGAGGAATATCACAGCTCATCCTTCAGAATTGAAGGAAAATACAGAAAGGTAAAAGCCAGGCATCAAGGCAGGGAACAGCGAGAGAGTTTCCACACCTTCATAAGGAAGCGGTGATCCCAGTCCTCTATGGAGGCACTGGGGATGAGGGTACAGGTCCCTTCTGGGGAACTCCACGCATGAAGTTCCTGTCCCAGACAACCTCCCAGAAGCTGTGAGGTCCCCAGTCATTCCCTTGAGAAGCAGGGGGATTCCTCCTTTGCTACAACAGTGATTTTGTGCCGTCACAAACACCCACAGCAGAGGCAGGACAGAGCCCCCCTCTCCCCATTTGAAATCCCCATCTTAAGCCATAACATTAAGAATATCAACTTCTGTATTTTTCATCAACAGCTCTCAAAACATTTCACAGAAGGAAAATCCCACCTATTCTCAGTTCCCGGGCACAGGCATGAATTGGTGAGAGACTTCCCTAAAGCCAGAGAGGGGACAGCAGGAGAGCCCTGGCCGGGGACTGGCAGGGTCCTTCCTTTCAACTCAAGAAAGGTCCCCCTCTCTTCCACTTCTGTTCCCCTGCCAGTTTGCTGATCGGAAGTGACCAAATGTGGCAATAGCAGAAGCAAATTAAGCATAAATTGGTTTTGACAGCCAGGATACACCTTTTGCAGAGAACTTATACTACTGCTTTGCTGAGCAAATATTTGAATGGAGTGGAACCAATTGGCAATTGTCATGTGTTATTTGCAAGTGAATACACCAGATCTTTTACTGCACTGAGAAAACAAATAATCAGCCCCCCAAATTCATGTACTTTCCCTTTAGAAAGAGCCACATTGTGTTGTTACATCAGCAATTGAAATATGACAGGGTGCTGTGTTTATACTCGGAGAAGTCATATACAGATTCCATCTGTTCAACATTTGGAGCAAATTTGCAATGATTACTCAGGCTGAAAATTGCTTTGGAGTTTTGTCTGCTGTTGCTGTATTTGAAATAAATCACTGCTGTGGTGCCTTACTTCTGCAGACAGACACGCGTGTCAAAGCGAGAGGAGAGCAGCTGAACTTTGGCCATTCTGATTTGCAAGATATTCAGATGTTGCTGATGCTCACAGCGGGATTTTCTCAGATGCTTTGGAGAAATCCAAGAAGACCCGAAGCCGCTGCTGAGGTGAGGAATTAATTTCCTGAAGATTTGTCTCTGCAAACTAAGACTCATTCCACTTTGGCCAAAGTCCATCCCGTGCCATGGGCTCTGGAACAGAGCTGTCAATAGTGAATGTCACATCACAGAGGTGCAGCTGCACTGCTAGAAGTGGTTGCCCAGCAGTCTGACAGAGTTATCAGGTAAATTGAGGCAGGTGATTCCCATCCACTCCAGCCCGTTGGGTCCAGACTTACATTGAAGCTTTGAACTAGCAACCTCTCCCAACAGGACACAGCCACGACTCTGGATCTCAACAACATCAAGGAGAATTAAGAAACTTTGGAGTTTGCTCCAGCTTTTGCTGATTGGGCTCTAAATCAAAGCAAGAGAGGGGTGAATTTCAAACTTGATCCTTGATATGGCCAAAGAAGAAACCACAAAGGAGAAAAATTAGTTTCAGTCATTCAAACACAGAATATGCTCAGCTGCAACTTCAGGGAGAAATCAGAGAGGAAGAATTCAGCTGATTGGATTTTGAGCCAGAAACAACTCCTATTAAAGTGCCAGATGTTCAACAGTAGTCACAAATAATAAGGGTTAAGCCCTCCATCACCGTTATCCAATCCTTCAAAATCCTTGACTGCTGGCAGGCTTTTTACACGAAGGTAGGCTATTCTTCCAACACTCTGCCTAGTTCAGGAGATCAAGTGGAGTAAAGCAAGATGAGTAGCTACCCCAGCTAACAAATTAGTAGGATGAGAGAGCGAAAGCATGTGTTGCTCTGAGAATGAGGCTAACTATGTGGGTGGCAACGAGATGGGAAATGGGTTGGAGGGAGTCGGTATGCATTACCAGCCCCTGATCCTCTGCAAAACTTGTTGACAATGGTACTGCAGCCAGGCAGCTTTGGAAGATGAACAGCTTGGCTGGTGGAAAAACCTGTTCTCTGGCCACCCACGCCATGGAAACCAGCGAGCAGTTGGCTTCGGATGGATAAAAGGTTATTTCTATGGATGAAACACGCTCAACAATTAAGGGTAAAGTGGCAAAGTTAGGCATCAACTGAGCCCGAGCTAACACCCGGTGACTGCAGCATGACTTGTGAGACACTGACACCATGACACCATCTGGGTATGATTTCTGCTGAACAGACTGCATATAGAAACAGATGGGAGGTGTCAGTTTTGATCAGGATTGTTCTGCTGGAGATTCCGCAGCACATTATAGAGCCGAGAGCCTGCCTTTCCCACGTACTTCTATAAAGAGGAAGGTGCTGCATTCACAGGAGCTCCGTGGTACTCGGGGAACTATTCTTACCCAGTCCCCCACTGGACAGAGCCCTAAGGTTGTGCAGCTGGGACGGATCTTTATTATTGCACCAGATATGTTCAAAAAAGCAAGTCACTTTGTTAAGTCCAATGTTCCTAAAATAAGATCCCAAAGTGTCTCTTTTTCTGGGCCAGCACTCAAGGTCAAACTGGAAACTTGCTGAGACTGCGTTCAAGGTTGCCGTGAAGTGAATCTCAGGCACCCCTGTCCTTTAGCACTGCCCTGCTTGTTATTTCAAGTCTTGACATCAGAAGGTTTCCATTATGCTCTCATGACTTCATGTAATTGTAAAAGTTAATTTTAAGTTTTCTTGACTGTGGAAAAAGCTGATAAATGTAATTTAGATTCAAAATGACAGAAAGGCCTGTTGGAAGGGACCCCTGGACAGCTCTTGCCTCGTCTCTCACTTGAAGGAGGATCATTTCCAACACTGGAACAGGTCAGCCATGGCTTTGTCTACCTGGGGCTTGAAAGCCTCCAAATGTAGAGATTGCATAACCTCCCTGGGCAGCGTGGTCAGAAGCTGAAATGCAGATATAAGTATTTGCATAAGCCTAATTTATGATTTTTAACACAAACACCTGGTGTTGATACCGTCACTAAGAGTTTTCTGGTATTGATAATAGACGATAAGGCCAATTTTCTCTCTACAGGCATTACTTAGGCCACACAGTTATTAGGAGTCTCATAAATATTAGATCAAAATAGCCAAAAAGAATGCTACCAATGAAGGCAACTGTTAAAAACTAAACTAATTCAAAACTTGAGTATCATTTTTGTAGGAATTGTCACTAGCTAAACTGGAAAGCCACAGTTCTGAGAGACTTTCCCTCAATTCTCAGAAATCTGACATTTTTTTTACCTGATTATCCAGAGGTGTTCTCCAAGCAGCAGTGCGTTCTTCTCCAGGCTAAACAGACCAGGGTCTCTCAGTCTTTCCTCGTGAGAGAGGTGCTCCATTCCCCTGATCATCTTCATAGCCCTCCACCAGACTCTATCCAGTAGTTTCCTGTCCTTCTTAAACTGAGGGGCCCAGATCTGGACACAGCACTGTAGATGTCACCTCACCAGGGTAGAAGGGGAGGACTTCTCTCTCTTGAGGCCAAGGGACTCAAGCCTATTGACATCAGCAGGGTGCTGAGGCTTTTAATTTAATAAAATAAATATATTTATTAATGAATGTATGTAGACCCTCAACGTACAGATGAGTAAAGTGACTCAGGTACGGATCGCGTAGCATGGAAAAATCTGGATACCTTTCCCAAGAAGCAGGGGAGTCCTGGCTGGTGCTGCTCCAGGGCACAGACCTCAGGACCACCGGCGTGTGGCTGCAGGTCCTCACTGAGAAAGTCTCTCCTACTGCCAAAGCAAGTGCTTGAGTTATAGATCAGCTCCATGGCACCCGCCAGGCTCAAGAATAAAAAGCAGCAGATGGCACGGCAAGAGTCGTTATAGAAACAAAACAAAAAACTTCTTTACTTTTTCCTGAAACTAATGAGGTTTCCTGAAACGGTAACAAGACGGGGCGTTGTACCACTCTGCACTGACTGTCTCTCCCAGGTGCAGTCCCTCGGGGCAGCGCTGCCGGGGGCTACGGACACGGGGCACGCACCAGCCACTGCGTTTGCAGGACACCAGCTGCATGGGGGCCACTTGTTTTAGGGGTTGTTTGCATTCACCATCTAGACAAGAAAGAGTGGATTAAGAAGCAGCCAGGTTTAGGCTGGAGGAGTTTTCCACAAATTTCCCCAGCCCTGAAGAAAATAACCCACTGTAATTCCCAAGCATGGTGCCTCGCCGACCTGGCGCTGGCAGAACCGATCCCAAACATCACCTGCCACATCAATCCCGTTAACTTGCCTGGGCGAGATCCAATTTTGGCCAGTAGAGATGCAGAGCCCAGGCTGGCCCGAAGGCATGTGGGTACAACGGCAGCAGGGGGTCTGGCAGGGAGGACACTCCGTGAAACTGGCTGGGAGCTGCTTTCTCCAGAGCCAGCACAGCAAATGGGTTACAAGTAAGGACAGAGCCCTGGGACACAGCTACTGGCACAGAAAGCTTCCCTGTGTGTTCAGGGCAGAGGAGGGAGGCTGTGGCCTTGGGATGGATGCCCTCCCTCTCTGCTGCTGCAGGATGGCTTCCCCTCTGCCTGGTTGTGCTGGTGGGCTTCAAAAAGAGTCACCATTCAAAGCTCTCATGGACACCCTTCAGACCTACGGTAGCACACCCAGTTTGTGGTGGGGGAGCAAAGCTCTCTCCCATTCCTCCAGCAGCATCATCCAGTTCCCTCAGTTTAGGTTTACTGGACCTATACACAGGCACATAGGCACAGCACAGTCCCTGGAGACCCAACACAAGGACAGCCAGCATCAGACTGTGAGAACTTTTCCCAGCCTCATCTACACTTGCCAGGCATCCTGCAGCCAGGTCAGCAGAGCGGGAACCCCACAAGGAGGAGGAGTTTCAAACTCGGCCAAGTGTTTGAGTAGAGGAGAAATGCTTTCATTTCTTAACTTTCCCTTAAAATAATGTGCACGATCTGTTCTGGGAACACCCACCCAGTGAAAATCCCTCCGGAGGCTGCCTGCCAAAGCCTGTGAAAATCCCTTCTGGGAGCCGTGTCCGCTATTTCAGACACAGCCTGTTCATAGGAACATAAATCTGCTGTCCTCACTGATGAAGATTATTTGAGCTGGATTTAATGTGCCCAGGCACATCTTTCTTAACTTGGCTCAGACAACCACCTGCTACTTCACGTGCGTTCGTGGCTCAGTACAGATGTCTTAATCAAATCACTCGTCCTGTGGAGAGCAGCTGCAGAGGGCTCACACTTACCTTTCCCCAGTGCCCAGCGCAGTCTATGCCTATAACTGGTGAAGAAGCCCTTGCTCTCTGCTCTGCCTGCATGTTTTACCTCGGGATCCTCTCCACTCGCAGAATTATTCCAACATGCTGTCAAATCTGTGGCAGAGAATTTCTGATGTTTAGGAAAGAAAGTAAAAGAGCATGGCACAATTACCAAAAACATAACAGAGATGACATGAAAACAGCAACATCTATAGAAAGCTTTGTGAGTATCTATGCAATTTACAAGAGAGGGGTTTCTTTTGCTGAACCTCTGTTTGGAAGTCCACACCAGTGATAAAGTATCTCCTGCATTTCACCAGGGGGTCAAAACCCCTGGGGGAGTATTCTGAAAGCCACAGGACATCTCTCTTCCTTTTACTGCAATTCCTATAGTGTGGAAGGGAGGCAGAACAGAAATAAACCCTGTATTTTAGCACCACTTCTGCTGGCAACTTGAATTGTTTAATACCAAAGGAATCCCCACATTTTTTGGGACGTCAGAACATTGGCACACACAGACCTCTGTAGGATTTGGCAGAAGATGCTGCTGTTTTCACCCATACCCGGAGAGCGCTGCCTCCTGCCAGCCGCCCCGAGCATCCTGCCATTTCCATGTGCTGCTGGCACCGACCCCACCCGCTGGAAATAACCTCACACCCCAGCTGAATGCAAGTCTTCTGAATGCAGCTGCTGTATCACAGAACTTCCCTCTGCCACCACCCTTGGTGATTTCTCAGCATTACCCCCGAGAATCAACCGGTTCCTTTAAGGTTTCGTATCTTTCCAAATTAACTGATCAGAATGTAAGTCCTTGTTCTGATGCAACGGTTTAACTCTATGTTCTTTATAATTCACCCTTTTTATCCATATATATCAGAAAAACTAAAAGTATGTCAAAAATAGAAACTTTATCCTATGCTAAGTTTTCAGATAATTTTAAAGACAGGATCAGTTCAAGCTGGTTTAGTTTCTCCAGTTTGATATAAAGTAGAAGAAATAATCACAATGAATGATTATTTGTATCTCCCAGCCAAGGCTCCTGGAAGAAGTTACAAGCATCAGGCACAATAACTGACATTCCCAGCTCCCTAAGGACGACCAGACGCCCACGTTACCACCATCTCACCTACAAGCACTCAGCACAGAGAGTTTCACATGGTGGTTCCAGTTCTGAATCCACTCTTTATAAGGCTCAGAACTTTGAGTCGAAGCAAGCCTTCACAAGATATTCAGCTTCAATTTGAAATCCTACCCAGTGGGGAAACCACCCTGTCAACTGCTATTACACTCAATTGTTAATTACCTTCGCTGTGAACGTTTTGCATCTTACCTCTAGTGTAATTTCATTTCCAAGAGATGATGGGCTATTATCATCCCTTCGGCTGCCAAGCAAAGCACACTCTATTAGTAGAAGTGTCACAATGTGGATGTTTGTCAGCTGAATAAATTATCACTTAACCTTCCCTTTAAGCCAGACGTATTTTTAATCACACTTACATTCCTATTTTCCAATTGACAAAGAGGAAAAAGGGATATGGCTGAAATCTAAACAAGGCAATAGCAGAGCCAAGCGTGCCTCGCAGGATCTCGATACTCAAACCTCTGCCCCTGACATTACTTCCTTCTAAGAACAAACTGGCATTTCTGCTTTTCTCCCAATACTATTTAACAGCAAAACAGTGCTGGAATTTCCAAGCATACAGAGTGTGAAATGGTAGAAGAATACATGCATTATAAAAATAATATTTTAAACAGCCAGGAAACCGTTCACTATTCACAGATGACCTAATGCAAAGGTATCTTGTGATTCAAAGGATAAGAAATGGCCATTATGAGTTTTACTGCATATTGTGGTCAAATCAAAATTAATTGAGGAAACAATTCCTTAATTCATCTGATCTGAGAATCAGCAGTAACATCAGGGTTTTTTAAATCATGCAGTGTGCTGCTGAATCCACAATTTTCTACATGTCCTGCAACTTATTTGCTGAAATCATTGTAAGTATCTGGAAAATACCTAATTTTATTTTTTTTGTTCTGACTTGTCAAAATAAACTAAATGAGCACTCAATGCTCACAGGTAAAAGCAGGCACAGGAAAGTTCACATAATGCTGTGTTACTTAGTTCATGAAATTGCTGGCATTTTTCCCAATAATTCAGTGATTTGACTTTACTAGTATACTTTTTTGCAATAAACAGATTGAACTCATACTTTCTGAAGATACCATCAAAACACCTTAGCTTTCTATATGATTCAAAGTTTTTTTCATATGATGGTCTAATGACATCAGAGGTAAAACTTATTGGTAAAAGCAATTTATTAGAAAAAAATGATGTATTTATGAAAAAAAAAGGTTGTATTTTCAAAAGCTTTCTTTTAATCTAATAAAAGAACTGCTCTCTTTCTACCAGTTTTAGATCATTCAAGTATCACAAAACTTCTTTGCAGCAGTAAAACAGAAAGGTAGTTGCAAACATATTCCTCAGAACATTTCTACTTCTGTTTATGTCAATCTTTGCTTCAAAATTATAGGGAAGTTCCTCTAACTTTATACTGTTCCCAAAGTGTTATGTTTCCTAGAGGACAGAGGCCATAAGTCTGACTCAGAATTAGGAAATACTATCTACAGTTGCAGCACTCTTTCACCAGCACTCAAGATGTCACCCACTTACTATGTAAGTGGAATGACTAGCTATTTTTTGTTTTTAGAAATAAAACCAAATAAAAAAAACTAAACAAAACAACAAACAAGAATGAAATCTCCCAAGAAGAGCTTTAAAAACAAATTTGCTTTTGATTAGTCTGTCACTTTTGGAAAGGCATTTAAGCTTTATCACAGTATGTCAGGTGATAATCTCAGATGTGTCAATCTGCAGCAGGCACAACTTTGATGCAACCCCTCACAGACACAGCAAAAGGGCTTTTTGGATTTTGTTCCAATGATTAAAATATTCAGCTTTTGGCAGGAGCTGCATAAGCTCAGAAGGACACAAAAGACTAAACACCTAAAAGTGCACGTTGCGTGAGATCTTTGAGGAGCTTCCACCAGTTTCACACCCAGTCAGGCCCGTCCAGTTTAGGGTTTCTGTGAGACCACTCTCTACCAGCACTTGGCAGAGCAGAGTCTCTGTTAGTGCATCTCCTTCAGCGTGGGCATGAAATAACTATGTACATCGACTGCTGGGACTTCTCTCATCTCTGGAGTTTTATCAACACTGAGAAAATGTTGACAATTTGATAATGAACCCTTATCATTTGGGAAAAATGAAAGAGAGATTGAAAGTAAACATCTGGCGAATGGAATTAACCATATTCTCTTGTCACACATTATATGTGCTCAAATCACATAAAGTATCTGCTGCAGGTCTGCTGCTCAGCATACACATTGCCATCCTGGGTTAAAAAACTTTTTTTTTCTCCTTTTGCATTTATTCTGATGCAACTCAGATAACTGCTCTGAAGCCATTTCCTTACCAGCCTCTGCAATACTGCATCATGCATACATCAAAATTCTAACATATGGCACTAGACATTTTTTTCCTTCGCATTTTTTACCTCAAAATCCTTTCCCTCCTGCAACGCTTGCCCAGTGGCTTCCTTTTACAACTCCAGCACCAGCTTTTCCTCCTAAACAAGGCCAAGATCTTTAGCATGATGAGCCGTACTTTGCACCTGTGGAAATTTTGTTATCTTATTCATACCACACATACTAAAATCAGTCTCCAATAATGTATGAGGACCCAAGAACAGGCATTTATTGAAAAGAATTTAAAGTATCTATTTTTGCACCTGAGTATCAGATCAAATTCTTTTGTACCATAAAGATAAGTTTTTGTAGTTCTTTTCTAAGCTATGTTTATCAACATTATCTGATAGTTAAGTAGAAAAGGTCTATGTAATTTTTCAAACAGCTGCTTTTTGCCAAGCAATGTGCTCAGTGAGTTTCAAGTTAGTTTATTTATGGGACTATCATGAAGTAGCCACTCCCTTCTTAAGGAAGTTCTTAAAAATCCCTCAAACAAACAATAACGATCAGAAAGCAGCAAATGTACAATCTTTTCCCCCTCCCATTTTTTGGAGGTAACCCACCTGATGATAAGCTTCCATTAAACGTTAATAAAACAAAGGTTACGTAATTCACTATCCAGCAAGGACTAAGCAGGATAAAACCAGACACTAATGATGGTTTGTTTGGGATTAATGGTAAGCGTTGGATTAGTTGAGGGCTTCTTGGTATCTGCCTTTCCCATCTCTCAACAAAAACTCCAACTGCAAAAGACTAGTGCCACCTTTGGATGAAAATTAGTACTAGAGCTCTCAGTCAATCTGCTCTGTTCCCCACAGACACTGTTCCATCATTAGTTACTTTGTCACACTTTCAGAAAGTTTAGTAAGATTTTATCAGAAAAGCCCTTTTTCCTTCTCTCTCACCTTCCTTTTTCCTTTTGTCTCCCATTCAACTTCAATTTTTAAGCAAAGTGTATTTCTCAGTGCTCATATGTTACCTCATCTCTTTGGAGTTTATCCTTGAAAAAAGATCAGAAAGTCTCCCATTAATAATCACGGCATTTAATTAAGGCCCGTTTGTAAGCTATGTCCATGAAATTGTTAAACATTTGATGGGGGTGGGAGGGATCAATAAAACTTTTCACTTAAGTTTAGGTAAAGCTTTACCTGACTTTTTTAATCTTTTTTTTTTTTTTTCTTTATATCATCCATTTCCAGATTATCCTTATTTTACCTTGCTTCAGATACTCAGAAATGTTAGTATCTTCATCACTCATCAGACCCCCAGCACCAAATCCATCTAACAAGGACGAAGGGCTTCATTGGCCACGATGGCATGTGCACCTCTGCACCCTCTTCCTTTCACTTGCAAACTGTCTTTACTTTGACCCAGGCATTTTCTTGCTTTTTTTCTTCCTGTTCTCTCCCCCACCCCACTGGTCAGGGGATTGGGGTGGTGGCTGAGCAGCTGTGGGGGTGCTTAACTGCTGGCTGGGGTCAACCCACCACCCCAGGATCTGGAAAACTGTCTCTGCCACAGGCAGGTGGAAGCAGGCAGTGCCCTATTTCTTAAGGCAAAATGGCATCACTGACAATCAAATCTACATTCACGCCTGGTGTTAACAAAGAGTGGAGACTGTAAAGCTAAAATCCCAGAGAGGGGCAAACGATACCATTGCTAATTGGCGTTGGGTTTCCATCTCTGTGTGGGTTTTATAATTACACGTAAGCTTCATTTGATTTCAAGGGCTCTGCTTTTATTTTTAATGGTAGCACTTTCCAGTTTTTATTAGATGATCCCCCGGAGACCCTGCACTAGGAAAAAAAAATAAAATGAAAATGTGATCAACCAAACGCTACACTCGCTATGTTCAGGCGAACTGCTACAGCAAAAGGAAACAGATGCCATTTAATCCACCACACGCAGGCGAGTGACAACTTGAGAAAGACAGTCTGGAGTGAGTCAAATCACAAGAAGGGACTTTTCTTGATGATTTCCCAATGCAACCAATTAAGCCCACTCCCTGCGCGCTGCCTGGCCTTATTTTTCAATTTTTCATTATTTCTTTTTTTTTTCTCTAACAATTTCCCTTGTCCCCTTAGGGGTGAACGGAGAAGTGTTTGCTTTCTGCTGAGGAAATACTCCCACATCAATGCCCCTCCGTGGCCACCCTCGCTTTAAAGCCTCCGATTGCAAAGCTGAGGGAAGTTTGGCCAGCTGATGTTTTTTGCTCCCTACATGTATCACCTACCACTTTAAGAGAAAATTCAGGCTCATCTGCAAAATAATTGTTTCGTGCATCAACATGTAGCTGAAGTGATAGCACTAACAGCACGTGAGCCAACACAGAACAATTTACTGGGGAAAGGGCTCGTGTTCCCAGTTCAGTTCTTATGACTGTTCTTCATCTCCTCAACACGTTTGGCTGCAGCCAGGAGCTGCAGGGAGATGTCTGCTTTGTCACAGGCTCTCCCTTTCAACTTACTCATCAAACTTAATTTTAATTCCCTGCTGTGACAGGAGTCAGGAACGACAGTTATACCCTAACCCTACTGTAACTCATCCACGTGGGTCAAGGGAACAACTCGCTACGTAATCACTGTAATGAGTTTTGATAACTTGCTCCATCAGAATGAATATCTGGTTTTAAAGTCTTGTGGAAAGAAAAGCAAGCAAAGAAATTAAGAGATAAAACAGGCCATTTACATGCTAAAAAATAAAAAAATATGCTTGTATCCCATCACTATAATCTAATTATCTATTATTGTTTCTGTGATCATCATAAGCAGTTATATTTATGCTGCACTGTCAAATTGCTGATTTGTGAAAGCCACTTACAAAGCTCGTGATGCACGATTCAAGGCACTCTAAAAATCTCCACATGTTCTTCAATAATCCCTGAACGCCTGTAACTCATCCACCGGAGTCCAGGGCAGGTGAATGTTAGGACAGTGTATGTCAGAAGATTCCTGGAACTCCTGACACGTTGGGAAGATTGAAAGAATAGTTAGAAATCCCATTTGTATAACAATATCTCTTATACACCTTTTAGTTATGTGAAAGCCAGTCAAGGAAGTAAGGTGTATGTGTAACTCTTCTACTAACTCCTGCTTCCCTCATTTCTATCCAAACAAATTCTGTACACATCCCAGAAGAACTTTGCAGCTGCAAACACATCTGTACATTTAATAAAATGAAAACTAAAGTAGATAAAAACCACCAAAACAAACGGAAATGCTCAGTCCAGGCCCTGTTTCTTGGCCCATCTGGCACGTCAAACCCCCTTTACGCTTCCACCAACCAAGGCCACATGACATCCCAAGATAAAAATGAAGCTGAAGATCTCCAGACTGTGAAAGCCACATTAAACCATTTGACAAGTACTTCATCCCTGTTCTGCCAACAGCAGTCTTTGATATGAAATTGTGGGAAGTCCTCTCATGATTTACTTTGAATTTGTTTATCTGTTCTAGATTTGGGATATTTTTCCCCCCCAGATTTCCATCTGATCTAGCACATACACCACACCTGGGCTACTATTGCTACGCTTGTTTCATTCAAATGTCTTTTTATAGCTGCTTTTGTTTCCAAGGCTTGCGTAATTTGCTAAGGAACTAATGCTTAAAAAAAATACATACTGAAAACAAATTAACATTATCTGCAGGAGGTTTCAAATATCTGTGCAATGGGGAGTTAAAAACGAAAAAAATTAATTACCCTTTTAAGTGGGATACCAGAAGTGAGGCTTTTTAAGTTACTTGAAGATTATAACAGAGGAGTTTGTTCAGATGCAGAACGCAATTTCAAACAAAAATACCATTGGTTCTAATGATGTACTTTCCCCCAAAAAGACTTTATTTTGGGCACAGAGACACACACCCTGCTTTTCCAAAGAAGCTTCTTTGTGACCACACTGAGCTGCACCATCAAGGTCCTGCTTTCCAGCCTCAGACCACCGAGACACCACCCCTGCCCTGAGCCCACCAGCACGGGCTGGGCATCACGGTCCTGAACCAAGGAGATGAATATGGTTACAGTTAGAAGAAGACATCACACCCAGACACGGCACATGGAGAAGTGAGTTGGGTTTGCACGACAAAGGATTGGTCCTCACTAACATTAACCACACTAATTTTTATTTCTGGCCAACTGTACAGTTGGTATAATAACTGCCTTTTTTTTTTTTTAAATCAAAATGACTTGCACTTGCAGTCATTTATACTGGGATTTCTTTTCACACACAGGGAAAGCACAGAAGAGGTGTTTGCGCTGAAATTCTTTGGTGACTTTCATCAGACTGTAGCAAGATACTGCACTTTTCATCTTCGAACTGCAATCCCTTCTACCACATTCTTTAATGATGTGGCTGGTAGTAACCAGCACAGATCCATGAATCACTCTTAACTCTTTCTGATGCTGGTCATAATCAGAACCTAAATCTTACCCTAGAGAAAAACATACACCATTTTTTCCTTCTGACATGACAGGCTGACACACACTGAAACATCTGCCAGTAAAACTCTGCAAGCCCCTCTCAGATTGGAAACTCAGGCCTTATTCTACAGGGAACAGTTGACAAGACATCCATTACCCTCTCAAGCAAAGCAGAACAACATCTCCCTAGAAAACTCATCACAGGTTTGGTTATTTCTCCTTACCTTCCCATTGTCTAAAGATCTTTCTTCACTCCATCCGTACCTTATTTCCAAGCCCAGAATGCCCAGGCAGATCTCCCTCCCCAGTCTCAAGGAGATGGTTCATTTCGTTAGACAGCTCACCTCTAAAGAAAAAGTATTCCCCCCTGTAGCTAGAAGGGTTATTTTAGAACAATTTCAAAAATGTGAGAGAGCGCATGCTCTGACAGGCAAAGGAAAACTCCATTCAAAGACTAAATAAATAACTGTATAATTTGTAAGCTCTTTCTTACAAAACTATCAGTTCAACAGTCCTGCAAATGTAGGAGTAAAATTACCAGAAGGGTGAAGCACACAAGTTCCGTATCTTCGGCGTATAACTATTGACTTGTACATAGAGCTCACACAAGGCAGTCTCCAGCTGGTTTTGAGATCACACACACATGCGTTAGAGACATAAGCTTCAATTTTGTATTAAAAATAAAAAAGTAAATTACCAATTTCTGTACATCAGCCTCAAGGCACTCATTTGTATATATAAATAGCAATGAGGATACTAGTTAAATGTTCAATCTTTCAACAGCTTCCCTGAACACAAAACTGATGACTTCCTTCACTAGATATTCCAATACCTCCATTACCAATGCAGAATGCAGAATTATTTTTTCTTTTTTTCCCCCCCTTTTTTTTTTAAATTGGCACTTTACAGCAAGCTGCCAGCTATGACATAAACATGAGCACATGCAAGATCAAGCCCATGCACCTTGAGTGACCAAAGGCAATACACAGTATTGCAGGAAATGAAGTCATTAATGTATGATGGCACGAATGGCACAACTTTATGGCTTTTTCATAATAATTAAGTTGTTAAAACAGTAAGAACAGGCTACAGAGAATGATCAAACAGGGTGCAGTTTTGCAGGATGAGGCTGTCACGCAGGTATTTCACAGCTAGTAAGTTTGGAAGGTATGCATTACATATATGATTTGTACTTTTTGCAGTTTAACATTTCTTTTTCTTTTTGCCTCTCCATACAAGAACCAGAAGAATTTAACATAAGTTAAAATATCAACAGTTCCCTCATATCAACCAACAGAGCAGTAGCTGATGAGCTACTCGAATCGCATTTTTAAAAGTCAAGAATTAATGAAAACAACACCCAAAAGTAATTAAAATCCTATTCTACACAAGACCAAGGTAGTATTTTGACAGTTCTGGAAAAGAAATCGGAACTACGAGAAGTCATTACTGAATTTCTATGATAAACATGATATGAACTATTCAATTCATCAACACACAGAAACACAAAAGCTGCACTGAAGAACTGTTGCCATCATCTCCAAGAGGATGCAGATTAGGTCAAGGGTTGCAATACCAGTGGTTTTTGACTGCAACAGAAACTAAATTTAGACCCAGTTACATAAAAAAATACTAATAGCCTTAACACTTTTAATCAGCATAAGAGGTTTAGAGATACACAAATGATTTAAAGTCAGTTGACTAGTTTTATACTGCATTTGCAATATTGTGCATTAGTAAAATCAGGGAGATTATGAAAGAAATACTGAAGCGTAATAAAATTACATAAAACATGAAAAGCAGGCTATACAGAGTGACTCCAAACTTTAATACTAATAAAAATTTTACCCATATACATCGAGAACAGGATTTCTCTATAGGCTAAACCTACGCAGGTAACACGACACAAGTGCCTGGTAGGTTCAGAAAAAAAGTTTGGACTCTTTAAAAACACCATATTAACTCGTGTGATCCTACAAAGGGCAAAGAATAAAACGCTTACTATCTTCCTCCTGTTGCACACCGCTGATCCTCGCTGCGGCTCACGCTGCAGCAGCACCCAGCAATCTGGCAGCCTCTCAAATGCCACGTCTGGCACGGTGACGGGCAATATGCTCTGCCAGCTGTGCAACTCCTCCAGGAGCTGCAAAATGGCAAAGAAAAATAATTCCCTGATGACTTTTAAGGATAGTTCGCTATTGTGGCTCGCAGAGCACCTGCCCAGAATTTATGAAGTATTGATCACATCATGCTTAGGGTTTTTTTCTCTGTAGCAGCTAAACAAGTTCCCTGAAAACAACACAAGTCACAACAATATTGTCCTAATACAAATAACACCTTGGAAAAGTTACCACTGTTGCCCCAGGCGTGTGGTACAATCATAAAATATGTGTCTGTGTTATCATACGTCCCAGCTCCCACTTTTTGACGTGATCTACACCATGAGAGAGGAAAAAAAAAACCAACACAACTAACTTCAAAGCAATTACTGTAACATACACCTTAAGGGAAGTATTATCACCAATATCTGGCCAGTCACTTTTGAAGCCAATTGTTCTTTCTACAAAAATATAAGGATCTGGAGCAGAAGCGGTAGTTTCTCCAGATTAGATTAACTGCAATGGTTTTAATAAAACTACAACTTTTAACAAACCCCAATCAAGGGCCAGCTTTCAACTTTGAAGCTATTAATCAGTTTTTTTCTTGGCAGGAACTTGTTCTGGTGATGTAAGCTGGCTGGCTCCAGATTAGAGTTCTTGTTCTGATTTACACAGCTGCAAAGCAGCCCACAATGTGACTGTGCTTCGTGTCACAACGTTACAGTTTATAACTGGTGACAACTACACCAGACTTTGTGCAGACAAGGCAACAAAGGAAAAAAACCAGTCTGTCTAAAAATAATTATTTTATACATTGGAAATGGAATAGTTACTTAGCTGCAAAAGTTCGACATTGTTACTTGATATTAAATATTACGCTTTATTTTCTGCATCTTAAATACCAGCAAGGCCACCATCACCTCTACACGATGAACTCCTTCCATTGCTTTCCCTACATCATTTTCCGAAGTCAGCTTTACCAAAACTGCTACCAACCTTGGGCTGAGTCAGACAGCAAGCTTATGGTTTGGGTTTTTGACTTTTTTAAGTGAAATTACCATCGTTGCAAATTTCTTTAGAACCATTTGTCAAAAATACCTTTTAGAGAAGTTCTTAGCACTTCAGAAAAACTGCACAGAAAATGAGAAATATTTAAGAAAAGCCTACGCAACTGAAATCAGGTATTTGCTCGTTATCAAGATTTGTGAATACCAGATTGCAGTTACAAACTACACTTTTTGGCAGATGCTTAGCTCATCATCATTGGGCTGTTGGGCCACAGATCCTCACATCACCTAAGAGGATTATGCAACAACACGCAGGTTATTACCGCTCAATGCTCACATACCGAACTTGCTTCTTCACAGCATTCCCAGCCTCTACGGATCCAAGAGAACATCTACGTGGCTTATTGGAAGTTCTACTCAAAAATACCTGTTTTCCAATCAGAAAGAGTCTGAGAGAAGATAAGACTTAAAACTGTGAAGTATTTTTAAAAATAAATTTCAACAGGCAATTTTAAAGATACTTTAATCTAGTTTCATTACCCCATTCTGAAGTACCATCGGTTCCTTATACAGTTTTCAGATCAAGACCTAAAACTCTGTTTACTGGATACATTTCTTTATCAGGTTTGACTGTGAGATCGTGTTCCCCAGCACAACCTCTTTAAAACTATGAAAACATCTCTAAAAGCCATGAATATTATGCAATGTTCAAATCCTTACAGGAAGATTTCTTTTCCCAAAGTCTCCAAGAATTTTAGTGGTTTAGGTGTTTACGCCAGGGAATATGCTCCCCTTTCCAGAGTGAAATATGAACACGTCATGCATTATCAAAGAAATCTTGGTTCTGCACAATATAAGTGTTTTAGGATACAACCACCTATAACAATTATTTAGACTGGGGGGTGGGGTGTTGCTCATTTATTCCAAATTAATAGTGTTTGACCACAATTAAAAGCTAGTACAGACAGAGAACTCCTGCCTTCCCAAGCAAGTTCCACAAGCAAACAGATCTCAAATGTTCTCATGAGGCTGTTACTGAGTGAACGCACGACACGCTGCCTTCCCATTAGCAACGTATTTTGAGAAGTGGATATGGTTAAGTCTAAATATTGTTCAGGGAAGGAAAAGAAGAAAGATTTTCAGCTTCACCTCAGCTCCAGTACCTACTGTCAAAGTGAAAAAATGAGACTGTCACCCACACAAAGTTATTTAACTTCAGGGTAAAGCTGTGTTTAGACAACGGGAACAGCTTAACAATTATTTCTAAAATTGTTTTTTTATTATTACAGAGTTCTGCTTCTAGATTCCCTTAATCTTTTGAAACATGTCTTCACATTCTACTACGTAGACACAAGAAGAAGAGAATACAAAAGCTAGGATCTACAAATACTATAGGCTTTGGGGATGTGGGAAGGCTAGTTTCTCCCCTTCCTGTGTCTCCACAACGCCTGGCTCTTCTTAGCTAAAGAACCTGAATTATCCAATACCCTTGGAAGGAAATATTTCTAAATGGTCAGTACGTACCAAAACTAGGTTTGACTTGAAGTTAATATTCTTGCCGTCAAGAGCAATAGAGCAAAGAGTCAGAAATGGTACTCCTTATCAAATTTTTATGCTAATGAAGAAAATGCCAAAGTGAGAACACAGAGCTCACAGTCAGAGGTAGCACTGACAGCCTTCAGCCTCTCACCACCAGGGCTGCCCACAAACCCAGCCCTCCTCAGTCCCAGCACTCAGATGACAACTGTTGCCTTGCCCTTCTGCTTTCTAGGTCTGATTTCAAGCCACACTCATGCTGAACAGAGTAAAAAAGAATAATTAGCCAGTTTGCTCATACTTGAGCCTTTTCCTTAGTAATGACACTATTCAGGGTTCTCCTCTTTACCAGAACACACAGGAACTTAGTGCTGACAACACTAAACATTTGTCACTTTGCTGAATTTGAATCAATAGGGTAAAAAAACCCAAACAAGAACAGAAAAAAAGAAAAAAAATAGAAATATTTATGATCACGCTGTCTTGTCTTTATCCCTTTCTTAAAAACAGCACTATTTTTAGTTTGATTTCCTACAGATTTTTTGCTTTATTAGTATACTCCACACAGGCATGTGTGATCTCTGCCCACCCTAAGCCCTCCACTTACAAGTTCTATGGTCAATATGATTATGTACAAAGTAACTCACTTTATAAAAGTTCATTAGTATCAGCAACAATAGTAATACAATAGTATTCACCAACAACCATCCACTATCATATCGATTTACACAGCATTCCTACAAAACAACTAGAAAACCAGAGCATTTCTATGAAGTTCTCACTGTCAATATAATGGAAAATAAACATTTTTCTACACTGTTTAAAAGAAAAAAAAAAATATAGCGTTGAGCCATTCAGTCATTCCTAGCAAAGATTTTCTTTGTGTAACAAAATACATTTTCACTTAGCATTAAATTTTCCATTTTTTTTACATTTTTAGTACATAGTTCTAGCAGGTGTTTTGTTTGTTTCTTTTTATTATTTTGGGGCTTTTTTAAACATGCTCTTCAGTTTTAAATTACTATTTTAAACAGAATAAATAGTCTGTAGATCAGATAGAAAACTATTTGTCAAGAATGAATTGCAAAGTAAATTATTTTTCCATGGATAGCCCACAGGGCTATTTTTTGCCACTTTTGAAAAAGCTTTTATTTAAACATACACGCAGAGAGCACATACTACATTGCCATTGTATGTAGAAACAAGCAAGCAACCGTCCACTGCCAAAGCTGGTGATTCACATGTAGAAAGGGGCAAAAAAAAGGGATGAAATAAACTCTCAAGAGGCCATTTGTTTGCATAAGTTCATTTCTGAGAAATTAAGGCGCCCAAAACTGTGCTCATCTTCACCTAAAAATTTAGGTTAATTCCTAGCATCAGCAGCTACAGAAAGTCCCACTGTCAACTAGAATGAAAACAGCACAAAACATGCAACTGGAATGAAACATGGCACAAACGCGTTAAATACATCACATGAACTCAAATTTCAAGAGAAAGGATCTTCCTGAAGGTGGCTCATGGCCCTGTGAATGAACAGCAGTGCACGGATAAAGGCTTTAGACTTTGAAAGTATTAAAATCAGAACTCAGAGAAGATTTTATAGTTGACAATTTTGCAAAAGCTAGAAGTTACGAATTCTGTAAGTTTGTACAGAAGTTACTCTGAAGCACACAATTACTGGATTTTAAACTGCCTGGCAATATTATCCAGCCTCCTTAGAGCACCTTTCCAAAGCAATTTTTTGATTGCAGATTAATACTTTATACAGAAGATGAAATGCTGTTCTGGAACAAATCAGTAAGATGGAGCAGATACGACATTAAGATGCAGCAAGATTAACACAAGGGGAAAGTTTAGATAGTCTAGCTTTAAGTGGGCTATTAAAAACATATTTTAACTAACCTCCATAAAAAAAAAAAGGGACAGACCCAAGACTGTCCCCTAAATTGAAGTTATTTTTTAAAAAAAAAAAAACAAACAACAAAAACCAAAACACCAAAACACCAAACCACCACACAAAACCCAAAAAGAACAAAACCAAAATAAACTCACAGTTCCCTATCGAATCTTACTATTACTTTAGAACTATTTAGATTATTTTAGAACAGAAGAATGACTTTTATATATTTTTTACTCTTTGGCAGGGAATCTATGAAAGCAAAAGATGTCCTGACAAACTGAACCTTTCCTGAGAAGGGTTCACAGTCATAAACATAATGTGTGATGTGGGAGACAGCAAGTTGTAACAGTTTGAAAGTCAACAACATGGAATGTACCAAGAGATTCATGAAGAAAGACAGCAGCAGTTATTTACATGTTCAGGGTAGTTAATTGTTATTTATGCATTAGGTTTCCCTTGTATAAATTAGAAAACTACAAAAAGTCAGAATTGGGAGAAACCCCCAATGTCTTTAAAAGTTCAAGTAAAAACACCTTTGCAGCATTTTCCTTAGACAATAGCATATTGCTCGTACAAAAGGTCTCTTATCCTATAGAAGTCTTGACAAAGGCAGCCTTCCAATCCAATGCGCCCCGTTTCAGTCTGGAACAAAAGACACGTTTCATTTTATTATCTTTGCACCAATGAGAAACTTAACCTTCCTTTAGAGTACTATTTACCAAAGAGTTTAAGCTGCAGAACACCTACCCTACGAACAGCCACCAGGTTGTTGCACACAAGCACTCCTCCTACAAATTCAGCTTGTATCCCTTCTCGCAAGAGAACTTGCTTGAAGTCAGACAGTCTCGGCTCATTCATAAACACAGACTGATGTCCAAGAACCTTTAAACAACACACACAATTTTAATACTTGCGCTACTTGGTAACTTCTGATTTTTCCAAAGATCTCATCACCATTGTGTTGGCAACAGTGTGGCCTAAAATGCAGGACTATAAATGAGAAAATAGATTCTATTTCTGTTCACCTACAGCAAGGCATTTCCAGGATAAGAAGACCTTAGATCTTATCTGACAAGTAAAGGAAAAGTTTCCTTCTTGGCTCACGTATTGAAGACAAATGGAAAGCTGCCATTGAAGATCCCTCTTCCAAGCCACGTAATGGCAGGGACAGAGTTGCAGTAACCTGTACTGCTGACCAGTACAGACTTCTACGACAGTTGTCATGAATCTGAACAGACTTTGGAGTTGTCTCCACACTTACCTAGCGCCCAGAACAGACTACATTTAGGATTATGCAACAGTATCTTAAAAAGCAATTCTCTAGATTAGAAGGCACTGTAATCATTCAATGGAAAGATAAAATAACGTCTACTCACATGCAAAGTATTTAAGAATAAAGATAATTTTATAGAAAAGATTAATTTAATGAACTCTCAAATCACTACTACAGAAGCAGAGGGATTAATTTCAAAGATTTGTATCTTAAGTATATATATGGAAGTATCTTCCATAACATCAATAAACCATAATAAAATCCACACCAACTAATTTCCAAATCTGCAAGTAGTAACTACAAACATGAAATTTGCTAATTAAAAATCTTATCTTTGTGAATAGATGGCATGGTATGCTAGGCTTCGTTAGCATATGCAAGACATCATCCTTGCTGAAAAGCATAAAATCTGAACAAGGAACAGTACCAGGTTTAAAGAAGAGAAAACCAAACATGAAAATACAGTTTCAGTTAGGCTTTCATTTGAGTAAGATCATAGTATCAACCTCTAAACATTAGAAAAACACAAATGAATACAGAGCTCTTCAAAAAAAGAAGTCCAGCTGAGCATAATTTCTGTACCTCATGAGGTGGCAGAGGTTCCAAAGTGGGAATGATCTCGCTCTCCTCACACATCTCCTTGTCATCGTCACCGAAGAGGCTTTTCATGGCCTTCTGTTGTGCAATGACACTAGAGTCTGAAGAAGGCATATCCACCTGCATCTCTAACTCTTCATCTTCCCTCAGCTCTCCCTCTTCCAAAATAACTCCAGTATCCACTTTGGAAACCCGCATGTCCAGAACGCCATCTATCCAAGCCAGCTCAGCATCCTTGGCTTTACAGAACTGAAGGGAGCTGACAAGAGAATCTTTTAACCGGACCTGGGTTCCACAAAAATAAAAGTACTATTAGTTTGATGAGAGAGGGTCTGTCTTCAAGCTTTAAAATCAGCAGTTTACCTTTCACCGTCTCTCCATGTAGGTTTGATTTTGAGGAGGGAAAGGAAGGAACTGGCATCACCAAGGCAAGACACTCAATACTTTCAAAGCATAATTTGTATAACCCTCGTCACTACTCAAATTAAAAGGCAGGGCAGATCAATACCTTTTATGTCTTGGTTAAAATGAAAAAAGAACCTATACAACTGAAAGCCTGAGTTAAATTTACAGCAAGAGCAATCAATTCCTTTTAAAACATCAGAAACTATTTTTGTGGCCAAAGAGTTCCTCGGTTGGCCTTAGTAACATCAAGGAAAGTTTCTTTAGATACATTTAGGTTACTGAACAGGAATTTCAACCCTTCAAAACAATTATAATTAATACTTTATTTTAAAAAGGGATGTTGTAAATATCAGATTTTAAAGGGACCAAGGTAAAGTGGCTAACGATCCACCTGCAGCACCATCCACTCAGTAGACACTGGGATTCTGATGCCCTGCTCACATCTATTATTTTCTAATTCAGTATCTCCAGTGTACTTCATCTTTTCAGAAAGCTTCAATCAGAAAAACAAACTAAAGAAGATTAAATTTCCCATTTATATAAAAAAGTTGAAATTAAGTATGAAGCAATTACAATTTTGTTCAGTTAAATATTTTGTGAAAAACTGCAATCGTGTAACTTCTGACACACTAGCAATCCTGAGCTTACAAAAAAAAAAAAAAAAACCAACAAAAAAACCCAACAACAACAAACTAAAGAAGATTAAATTTCCCATTTATATAAAAAAGTTGAAATTAAGTATGAAGCAATTACAATTTTGTTCAGTTAAATATTTTGTGAAAAACTGCAATCGTGTAACTTCTGACACACTAGCAATCCTGAGCTTACAAAAAAAAAAAAAAAGACCAACAAAAAAACCCAACAACCAACAAACCAGACAATAGAAAACACCGCTGTTTTAAGACTGTCAGAGCTGGATAACTCTGAACTTACCACTTCCTACAGGGTAACATATTTTCCTCTGGAAAGAAGCAGAAGTATCTTTTTCATAATTCTACAGATGTTTTTCTATTGACTTTAAAAGGGCAGAAGGAATAAAAGACTAATGCCTAAACTGCACGTGTGAGACTTTCCTCTAAACAATTTCAAAAACTGAATCAGGACCATAAATAATCTTCACACACTTCACACAAGTTATCCAAGTCTTTTATTTAGAGCTTAACCATGAAAAAGAAATGCAATATATTAACATAGTGCACACATCAGCATGACCTCACTTCCCAAGAATTAACTCATATTAACTTTTTTGGGGGAAGTCTTTCTTATTTATTTATAGCATTAACTTGTTCTTATCTTTTCACATGGTCATTCTTAGGTACTATTAATGTATGAAGGATTTTTTTTTCCTCTTTGCTCTTTAAGGCTGCCCTTCAGATTCCAAATAGAATCCCCAATTGCAAGTAGTGTACAGTGGAACTCTAAATATAGGCATTGTATATAAATTAAGACCCGAGTAAAGCAAAGTGATGTTCCCATGGACACGAACCTTGCCTTTTGCACTAGAGGTAACCATACACTGATCTCATGTTTCAGCTTTTAAAAACAACTAACAAGTTCCAGCACCTTACCTGGTAAATGTGAGTTTCGCTTGTTGCATCTACAGTTTCATGAAGTTTCGGCACGTAAACTTTAATATCTTTTCCACCAAAAGCTCTGCAACATTCTGCAAGGTCCTGACTGGCCTCAGGTGGTCCATGGACAATGATCAGTTGTCTTGGTTTCATTTGGTTAATAATTTTTTTAATTGAGTCCCCATCTGAGCGTCCTTCATAGTCAATGTATGTAACCCTGGCTCTGGTTTGAAATAAAACCCAAGAATATTTTTTTTTAGTTTAAAAGATTAAACCTTTGACTGCTCCAAAATATTTCATTTAAAAATGGAATATATTTTGAAATCATTCTACATCAGCAAAAGCTGTCAGCTCAAGGTATATTATGGATCAGTAAAATATAGAATTATCAAATATCAGCATGTGTGTGTACTGAACACTTTAAATTCCCCAAATTCACTTACATGGTTATCTAAAACACAATATAAGCACATTTCAGTAAGTTCTTTTAACAAAATATATGGATATTTGAGTATCTATGCTAACATACTATTGTATTGTTAGTTCTTCCTCTTTTACTTGTATTCATTAGACAGGGAACAAACTGCAAATTTCTTAAGAGTGGAGACTCTGTACCATGCTCTCAGAAAGACTAGTAAAAACTAACTTAGATATCTTGGGGGGGTGGGGGGGGAACCAAAAGCAAGCCCTTTCCCACTTTCTTAATTCCAAGCTAGCCTTTTACCCAGTTTACACTGTACCCATGCCTCCACTCCAGCAGAACTGACATGAACAACAAAGCTACTCACTTAATTTCCATGGATTCTGCTGCAGAAATACATTTGGTAGGAACATCTGACAAATCCTGGTCCATAGGCTCTTCTCCATTTGTCAAACCAGATTCTAATTTGCTTTTTTCTTCTTCTGTTGCTTGAAGTTCCGGAACTAGGAAATCCTCAGGTCTAAAGAATGAAAAGCATTTTGCTTTTAATAGTCTTACAGTAAAACCAAAGCACTATATAATATATATAAATAAATCAATATATATATATAAAACAAACAATGCTAACTATTTCTACTGATTCCTCATTGACAAAAATTTTATTAAACTTGCCTTCAGTATTTCCCTATTTGAACAGAGCTCATCAGAAAAATATCACCTTCCTATCTTAAAAAAGAACTTTGATATCTTGGGAAATACTAGCAAATTGAGGTTTTTCTAGCAACTAGTCTTTATGCAAATAGGACTAGATTTTTCTAGGATGAACAATAGTTTCCCCTCATTATAAATTTATCAAAATTATGTGTAATTTAAAGGAGAAAAAAAGAGTCATAAAGCTCCCCCCCAAAAAAAAAAGCCTGAAAGCCTGGAGTGGAAACATATCCTAGGAGGTATGAACACAGGCCAAGGACCAGCACTCTGCAGCTTCAATCCTATCGTAAGCTTCCTGTGAGACTTAGCACAAACGGTCCTAACCAGTTGGAAGAGCATATAGCAGTGCTGCAAAAGAGACAAAACCATGGTTTGTATTACTTCTATTTTCTAATTATTTCACAGCTACTACATGTTAGTATGCATTACCACCACATACTTGATAATCTCGCCATATTCATCCCATTTAATTCTTTCTTCAGGGGCTGGAAACATTGGATAAGATTTCTTTGCTTGTTTGAAGAAGCTTCCTTTCCGACTACCTTCACCTTTCATCATCAAATCATGTTTGGTCTTATGTACAGTTGGCTGATCAATATCCTCTTCAGCATCGCTCTCATCACTGGAATCAATATCTGCCCTGAAATTACATTAAAAAAAGACCTAGCACTTTTTTTTTTTCTTTTGGTTTAATATTACATAAAATAACAGTTGACACAACAATAACCAAGGACAAGGCCAGCTTATGTGTCTGAGAAAAATCTCACAGTCAAATGGCAGATGAAACAGGTCTATTATAACAACAGACTAAAGACAACCATTCCTGATTCTTCAGTGCCCTCAGACAAGTCTATCAAAACTACGATTTTCATTTTTCCCTGTAAATGGCTGAAGCAGCAGAACGACCACAGAGAAATCTCAGCTCTGACCATAACAGCAGAACAACCAATATACTTACTCTTTAGATTGTTCCAGCTTCTTAGCTGCTTCTTTCTTTAGTTTCTCCTTCTCTAGGTATTCTTCAAGTTCTTTTCCTTCCAACTTGACACGTTTTCTCAACTGCAGATAGAATTAAAATTAATATTACTGTGAGCAGCTGACATGATTTTCATACTTTTCCTATAAGCTGCTGCCAAGAATATTTGTATTTAAATACCAAGGGCAAGTACAACTTGTCTGGCACATACAAGACAAGATTATGCAAACGCATGGCACCTTGTTACGGCAACACCATCACATTATCAATTAGTATAGCCTACTTCAACTGAAAAGCATTTTTAAAGGTACTAAAATCAATTAGCTTTACAAAAATTTCTTAAAACATCTTCAGGAAATATTTCTCCAGTAAGTGAACACAAACACTCTGAGATGAGCAGTGTTTGTTCCATTTCTGTGTCACTAACATCAAACCAGAAGAACCTGGCAAAGTCCTACCAGCAGGCAAAATAACAGTAACTTTTGTGTTCTTGTCTTCTGAAAATCAAACTACGGTATAGGTCACTTTACAACAAAAACACAAAGGAAAGCATCACTTAAAAATAAATATTTAAAAGCAACTTCATGCTCATCTCTGTGGAGTATTAATTTTGCCACACCACCAAAAAGCATTTTGCAGTTCCTGACACCTATTTTCATGTAAGTTTATCCACAATTGGTTAAACATGAAACATACTGATTTCAGATGTCCCTTCTCCACTAGAAGCATTTTCAGTAGTTCAAAAAAGCAAATTAAGTTTGCTTTTGTTCACATCCCCCAAGATGGCCCACAACAAAAAAACTTTGAGACATACAGACAACTCTTACCTCAATATCTATAACTTTTTCAGAAGGATTATCAATCAGGAACCGTGCTAATGTTCCAGGCGTAGTGCGATAAGTTAAAATTATAGAATTTTTGGAATCCTGGCACCACTGAATGAAAAGATCTCTAGAAAACCCACACTCTAAGTCTGGTTGACTGGCAAGAACAACTTTTGGACTAGACACTCGAGCCAGATCAGACAGACTATGACATAAGGAGAGATGGCGGAACTGAAAAGGATTGTTTCTCTTGTCTTCAAAGCACCTCATCAACTTGTCACTCATCCATTCAACCTAAAATAAGTATTAAGAAAAAGTTACTTATAAGAACAAAAGTTCTACGCTAATGAACAGACCTGATATGAGGTACAGGATGCAATACGCAAGTGAAATTTAAAAATTGAAACAAACCTGTGATTTAGAGAACTCCACTACATTGTAGCTGACGTTATTCAGAAGCGCTAGAGAGTAGACTCCTAATCCTGCATCTTTCGTTCTCCAGATCTGATCGAGAAGTTGAGCAAGTTCCAGAACTCTGCCTGCTGTATCCACGGCTATTAATACGTTTCCATCGCCGCGCAATGTCTCCAAAACATTAGCTAAGAAAGATTAAAAACAAAACAAAAAACCGACTTAAACTTTGAACCAAAACTAGAATGTTACAGTCCTTTCCAACCTAAACCATTCTATGATTCTATGATTCAGAAGAGATCCAAAACCACATTTCCACCAAAATTAAAGGGAACTGGAGTTTTCTTGGTAGCTCTTGATACTAGTTTTTCTCTTTTTATTAAACAAAACAGCAAAATGGAGTTTAAAAAAGAATATGCTGAGGAAGGACATTTAAAAATCCCTTCAGAAGAGATTAATTGATACTGGGTAAAATATACTGTCTTCAAATACAGTTCAGTGTTCTCAGGAAAAATGTTTAAGCCACAGGGTCAGCACCATCAAAAGAGTAACTTTTTTTTTTTTTTTAAATTTTCATAACGGTTCTTAGCTTGGATGCTGATGAATTCCTCACAGAAAAACAATCTACAGCGGCTAATAAATCATATCACTGCTGTTTTCAAGCCCCAACAGAATACATACTCAGCAGCTGTTCATCTCTTTGCTTCCTCCTGGGTTGTACATAAGTCGCATTAAATGAATCTGTAATAAGCAATGAAGGCCTGCTCAACATTTCCAAGGAACATCCATTCAGATGGCTGTGGAAAAAAGGCAAAAAAATCTCACTTTTTGCATTTCTATTTTATAAATAAAATCTAAGACAGCTAGCTTCCAAACGTCTCCATGTACAGAAATCAAACTAATTAGTAGCTGAATGTCTCCTGTTTCACGCTTAATTAAAATAAATAAATAAATAAATAAATAAAACTGAGTAAAATAGAGAAACCCAGCACTAACGTTCATTTCAAACTGATTAATCTGAATGCAAGTGAAGTTTGTGGTTATCTCAGAGCTGGAAAGGCACCACTACTTCCATACCTGTTTATCACACACTAAATGATGCACACCTAACACAGTATATAAGAAATATACATTGCTAGGTTGAACTTACATCTCCCTCTTGTGGTTGAAATCAACTGCATAAACAATTTCTTCCTCTCCATCCTTGACAATCTTCCAAATTGTGCCTCCTATCATGTGGCCAGCTGGCAATGGCGTAATCGACAAACCATGTCCTTTGCCTACAAAAGTTTTCAGCATTTTAGATATATGCTAAAATCCATTACTCTAAATAAAACACAGTAATTTTAAACAACTGAATGCCAAAATTATTACTGGGAAAAACGTCAAAAGAAGTATGAAAAAATCAGTAACAAATCTGTCCTTACCATCTAACCAGTAACTTCCAAAATTTTTTGCAATTCCCTCCTATTTTGCCTCTGGAAAAAGAAACTAAAGTGAAGACCACTTCTTCCCTCCAACTCTCAAAGGCACCGCACAGCCTCTGTAACAGTTTCAGCAATAACTAAAACATGCATTGTCTTCTTAGATGCATCCATCAAGTCGTTTTGAATCACTTCCATTAAAGATGAAAAAAGTAGTGTGTTTTCAAAAAGTTTTAAGATGTAAAAATTGGCAGCACAGACGTTGCCTTACTAAAACTATCCTGGAAAAGGGTCAACAGCTTTTCAAGGACGGCATCCCATTTCTGTTTTCCAAATTACAGGGCAAATATTTTGGCAAGAAGCATTCAGGAACTGGCAGGTGCTGCATCTCTGAAACAAGCTGCTGGTGGTCAGCTTGTACATGTCTTTGTTTAAGAATAGGGTTTCCATTTCTTTCTGATCTTTAAATTCAACAAGAGTGAAAAGCTGCCGATTCTTCGGATGCCAGAGTTCCCAGCAATAAGCTGCTCTGGGTACCTCACAGAGTCAGTGAAGACCTCATTAAATCATCCACGAGCCATAATATAATCACTGCAACCTAGTCATTTGCTAGAAAGCTTTCCTCTGTGTTACTGGTTACTGAAGACTTCCAAGGTATCCACCACCAGGCACGAACAAATGCTTTTGAGAGACATAAGCAAATTCCAAGAAAAGTTACAAAAAATACACAAGAGAAACAAACGTCTACATATGTTCTGGCATGACCTCCTCCTCATTAAGTGGAAATTCTATCCACTTCCACATACAATTACTGAGGTAAATATTCAGCTGATACAGACTGACACTGGGCTACTGAATTCAGCCCTGCAAAATGTACATTTCAAAACTTATTCCCTTTAAAGAAAAAGTTACTTTAACTCACGATGACTCTGTTGCCTTTCACTAAAAGTCATTTATTGAAACTCTGGTGACAATTTTACCTTTCAAGTTCACAATCTGAGAAAACTTCAGCTGTTGTATCTTATCAAAGGCTGCATCTACATCATCCAATGTAAAGAGAGTGAAATCTTCAGTATTATGGCGGGACTGAAACAAATAAGAAGTACAGAGCATTCAAGAACCTGAGCAGTCTACCATATCAAAGAGGCTGTGTATGAAAATATCAACTTAAATATACCTGGTAGAGATCGTACATAAACATCTGTCCCATTTTATATACAGGAATAGTTGCATAAATGGCACAATTCAACCCCATTTTTCCAACTGCATATGGAAGAGCACCAAGGTGTAGAGGGTCAGGATGAGACAGAAGAACAGCATCAACTTGGTGTACATGTCTACAAAAAGAGGGACAACAGAAGTTGGGGAAAGGAGTTCTGTATGGTGTTATACACTCCCCATTATGGTTATTTTGAGAATACATACACAATCTGAACGTCAAACAAAAAAACTTAAATCCTTCTAGGTTTAGAACAAAGTTTTTACACATATTTCTAAATGTTTAAGCACTTAAAAATGCAAAAAAACATGATTTCAAGATCTGGAAAACATAGGTTTTCTATCAAATTCTTTATTAGAAAGACCTTAATATATACTTAGACACCAGAAAGTACATTATCTGAGGGGCCAAAAATATTATCAGTGCAGACATGCTACAAATTGTTTATACATTGAAAAACCTAAAACAGACTACAACTTTTCTTATGAAAAAGACCAAGTTATAGGACAAAAACCAGAACAATCCTTAAATTGGTAAAGATGGAATCAAAACACATTTCTTAAAAACAGAAAAGGTCAAATATGTCATTTATGAAAAGTGGCGGTTTTGGGGGGGGTTTATTCGTTTTAAAAATGGAAGATTTTTTTCTTGCAAAGTGTTGCATAAAATAAGAACACGGCCTAAAAACTTACTATCTACCATAACTGAAAAACTTGAGGGTATAAAAAATGCACTACAAGTAAAAATACAAGTTGGGCTGAAAGCTTTTTGTTTGCTCACAAAGTAACTGGGGCACACATGTTCTTCTTGATTGCTGTTATTAAAGAGGATTTTATCTAATTGCTTCTCAGATAAAACACTCAAAAAAATTTATAAATTATCTTTAAATACATAATAATCCTCAGTTAAAAGACTTCAAACATTACAAGTCTGTCAATATTAGCAAAGTGAACCTACAAAAACAGTATCACAAAGCTTAGCTTCTTTCAGGAATTTCTATGTTTCAGTCCTAACCTCGTAATCAATGCCTGCTCTGCAAAGCTCCTTGCTGTGCACCTGCAGAAGCTCAGGAGTAACATCTAGGCAGGTTTATTTCTGTGCAGGTCTGGGACAACTAATGCATGCTCTTTTCCTGACCGCCAAATCTTTCAGCTTGAAACAAGAGGCAAGAGTTGAACTACTTTGTATTCAGCCTCCATACACTAACGATTCTTTCATTTAAAACTTAGTTAACCATTCTAAATTACTTTAGAGTCAAGGTCAATCTCCCATAAACTCTGCTCTCTGTCATGTTTATGAAAAAACAAAACATCCAAGCCAAAATAAACACAGGAGAGTTTGAGAATTACACTTAATAGATGTAACTCATTAGACTCACAAGAAAACACCCAAGTTTTTACTGGAAATATTTCAGCAGCACAATTCCCTTCATATAAAACATACTTTAAAAAATAGCAACAAAAAGAAGAACTTTAGATTTAACATCACCATACACATGTTGTTGCACAGTATTTTGAAAACTTTCATACAAGGACAAGACTACTAAAAAAAAAAAAAAAGCACATGAACTGAACTACTTACTTCCTTAGGGAGTCAATAATATCCATAGAAAAGTTTTCATCCCAGCCACAGTCCAAAAGAAAACGAAATTCATCTACTTGCAAGAGATAGCAAAGGGCAGACTCCTCCTGCACGCCTGAAAGCGTAGTCAACTTGATAATCGATGTCATTTTGCTCTCCAAGCGTTTTATTCCCAAAAGAACTAATCTGGATGAGAAAAGAGAATGTTTCATTGACTAAAGCAAATGAAAAGCCTATTTATTTTGATCTAACTTCACACATTTCTGAGAATATGCAGGGTAACAGTTGTGAATACTGTTCAATACAGCTCCTAGGTATCAATTAAGTCTCCGATATTAATTTTTGGTCGAGGGAGGTCTTTTCTTTTTGGAAAGAGGCTTTTTTTTTGATAGTGAAGTAAAAGGGATGACGCGGAGCAGCGCAGCTAACAGCAGCCCCCGGGGCCGGACGCCGACACCCGGACATGGCGGGCCCGGGGCCGCCCCTCAGGCCCGGCGGCTGCCCGGAGCGGAGGGGGCCCAGCACCGGCCGGGCCGGGGCTACCGCAGAGATCGCCCCGCCACGCCGACCCCGGGACGTGGCGGGCCCGGGGCCGCCCCTCAGGCCCGGCGGCTGCCCGGAGCGGAGGGGGCCCAGCACCGGCCGGGCCGGGGCTACCGCAGAGATCGCCCCGCCAGGCCCCGCCGCCGAGACAGTGGTTGGCCCTGATGGGGTGCGCCTCGCCGGCCGGTCCCGGCCCCTTCCACTCCTGAGGGGAAGAGAAGGAAGGGAAGGGGAGGGCTTGGCTCGGTGGGCCCGGGACCCTCCCGCCGCGCTGCCCCCCGAGCCGCCGCCGCTACCTGCCTCAGGACCCGCCTCAGGGCCCCCCTCCGGGCCTGCCTCAGGGCCGGCGGGGAGCGCAGCCGCCACCTCCAGCCGGCACGGCACCCTCCGCCATCTTGGAGGAGGCGGGGAGAAGGAGGCGGGAGGGTGGAAGGGCACCGGGCGGCACCACCGCCGGGTCGCCGGGGGTGGAGTTCCTTCCTCCCCCTCTCCCTGCGCCGCCGGTGGGCTCTCCCGGCCTGTCGGTGCCGCCCGCTGCCCTTGGCGTGGCCGCTGCGAGGGGCCCGGCGGCGGCGAGGAGCGGTAACGGGAGGGCCGGGGAGTGGGAGCGGGGCGGCCTTGGCGCGGTACCGGCCTTCCCCGGGAGCTCGGCAGGAGCGGGCGCGTCCCCAGGCGGGCCGGGAACAACGTTTCTCCGCGCCCGGCAGAGCCGGGAGGCCGGCGGGGCCCGGTCGTGGGTCAGCACCGTGAGCGCCGGCCCGAGCCCTGGGCAGCGGCCCGGGTGGCCGTGGGTCACCCCTGGCTGATGTGGGGCGTCCCTGTGACACCCATTAGGTGTCCTGTGGTGCCATGGGGGCACCTGTGGGTGAGCTGAGGTGTCCCTGACACCCGTAGGTGACTTGTGGCCATGATGGCACCTGTGGGTGACGTGGGGTGTCCCCGTGTGACCCACAGGGGAAATGGGGTGGCCCTGGGTGACCCACGGGTGATGTAGGACATCCCTGGAGGGCACCCTCAGGTGATGTGGGGTGGCGTTGGGTGACCCACGGGTGGTGTGGGACAGCTGTGGGACACCTGTAGTGGGTGACACAGGGTAGCCACAGGTGACCAAAGGGTGATTTGGGGTGGCTGTGGGGCATTCATGGCGGTATCATTAGTTACTTTAACAGGTAAATGACTCCAGAACATTTCAATGGAGCTGCTTCACCAGGGATGTCATAAGAGATGTCATATTTCTCTCCTGTTTGGGATAAACCCTGATTTCTGGGTGTTGGTGAGGGGTATTTCTGGAACACCCAATGCATGGATTTGAGAGCCGCAGCTCCCCATGAGCTCGCTGTGTCCCTCAGGACGGGTCCAACAGCCCTCCTGTTCATTAGGCTGCTGTGGGATCCAAGCAGCATTAGCGGCGCTGGGTGTGCAGCAGTTCCCATGTACGGATCTATCGGGATTTATCAGATTTTAACTCTGATCTGTCCCGCTGCTCTCTCTAGCAGCCATGGTGAACTTCGCCCAAGCTCTGCGGGATCACTGGGTCCACATCTTAGTTCCCTTGGGATTCGTGGTTGGATGCTACCTGGACAGGATGAACGATGAGAAGCTGTCTGCCTTCAGGAACAAGAGCCTGCTGTACAAGAGGTCTGCTTCACCACACCCCGGGGGGATACCCTGTTGTTTTGCAAAGTGCTTCTCTGCTCTTTTTGCAAATCTTAAGTATGAAAAAAAAACCAAAACAAACAATAGGTAAAGCTGACAAAATATTAAAGGGAACAAAGCCCAAAAACTTTGCGTTGGCAAAGCATTGCGGTCACTGATGCCCCCTGACAGCCGGGGCTTCAGGAGCCACCTCCATCTGGAGCAAGAGGGTCATTAACTGCTGAAGAGCTCGCTGTGTGCCCTGCAATGTGGGAAATGTCCTTTTTTTCTAAAATTTCAGCAGGAAACACAGCGCTTGAATTTTAGTTTTCAACTTTTCAGGGGCTTACAGCAAACTTTTAAAATTATCACAGCAGCATTTAACTAAATAGATTTATAAATTTGTGTCGTTTAAAAATAATAACTAAGTTTTTGAAAATTAACATTTATGTCAGCAGCTGCTGTACCTTCACTGGAAGATGCCATTACACACACTGATCTGTCTGGGCTTCTGGATGACTTCTCAGGGAGAGTTTAGATGACATAATGCATTACCTCATCTGTGTCAGGTCTCCTAATTCTCTATTAGACCATAGGGTTAATGAAACAGGAGAAAAAAAAAACTCACGCTGCACAGCATGGACTAATCAGGAATAGGTAGTTAAGACAACAAGATCCATTGAAGCTTTAGAAAGAAAGATTGAAAGATTTTTAACTGACAGCAATTGGAAGGAAAGTTAAATTTATGCATAACTCAGAATTAAGATATTCTAGAGTAATTAATTGCATTTATTAGTAATTATTCTACAAAAATGATCCTAATTTTGGTCTCTTTCCTCCATTTTTTCCTTTCCACACAGAGAACTGAAACCTGGTGAAGAAGTTACATGGAAATAAAGGCTGACGATGAGATGGAAGATATTTTTGTTTGATTGATCATCTTATCTCAGACATTGGAACAACAGAATTATGATGTTTATCTCGAGAGAATATGTAAAGTTACAGAAAAGGACACCTGCAATTCATCGGGGCTAGTTTAATTTCCAATCTTACTTCTCAGAAGCTGTAATTACATGACTAATAGGTGTCCAGGAATTCCATTAGTCCACAAATGTTGAGAAACTCCTGTCCCCAGATGTCATGCTCTGAAGGGGGGTGGGGAACAGCTGTGTAATAAAGAAAAACTATGCAAAAATCATTGATGTTGTTCTTGATCTGTAGGGTGTGGAGTTCATGTATTTATAGCTAATTGATGAACTAGCCTTCGAAGGAACACATCACATAGACCCAGAAACCAACAGTGGTTTCAGTTTTAACGGAACCTGAACAAGTGTCCCCCAGCTGTCCCTGGTGTCACTGGGTGCCAGTGCCCCATAGCCAGGATGGAGCTGGACAGAGCACCTGTGGCCACGTCCCATCTGTCCCTGTGCTCTGGGGAGACAGCTATGGGGCACTGTGAGGGGCTGTGGTGCAGTTTGGGGGAGCTATTGGGTCTGTGGGGCAGTTCCGAGGGGCTATGAGGCACTGTGGGGTGGTTTCAGGGGGCTATGGAGTACTGCTCTGCAGTTACGGGGTTGTGCAGTGCGGCAAGCCTATTGGGCAGTGTTGGCGGGGGGACAACTATGGGGTGCTATGGGGCAGTTTGGAGGGGTACAGGGTACAATTTCGGAGGGATACAGAGCACCGTTGTGGGGCTATCGGGCACTTTGAGGGGACTATGGGGCAACGTTGGGTGTCTATGGGGTGCTGTGGGGCAGTGCTGGGGTGCCATGGCGCAGTATGGGGGGAGGGGGAGGCTATGAGGTGTCGTGAGGTCGCTCACCTTCCTCTAGGGGGAGAAACACACCCCAAAAACCAACTCGTGGACCCACATCAGCCCCCAGTCCTCCAGAGCCCCTCACGGGCCCCCGTACCCCCCTGGCCGCTCTCCAGCCCCAGCCGCGCCGCCAGGGACGCTGAGCGTCGGGGGGCGGGGCCAAATCGCGCTCAGCCAATCACGAGCGGCGCACAGGAGGAGACAGACATGAGGGGGCGGAGCCACTGCAGCGCCCTCGGCGGAACGTCCCCAAAACACCCCGGGTTTACCCCAAAACGGGGCGGGGAGACAGAGCCCGGAAGGATTAATTTAAATAAATGTATCATTAGATAAAGTTAAAGAATTTTGTATTAAAATAACTTGATATATTAAATCTATATTTAAATAAATTTGTATTTGTTTAGGTTAATGTTTACTAAATTTACATCAAATTGATTATATTTATCTAAATTATAATTTTCTTTACTTAAATGTAACAATATTCATTTAATGAAATTTAACTACATTTCATTTAACTTAAATGAGCGTTTAAAAAAAATACCTTTTGTCGCAAACCTGCCCAAAGCCCCTCAAAAAAACCCACAAAAGACCCCCAAAAACAGGATCTACGAAGTTTAAATAATAATTTAAAGTTTTAATAAGCGTAACGGAAGCAACTTAAGTAAGTTTTAATAATTGAAAATTAGCAGATAACAAAAAAAAAAGCCGAATTTGACCCTAAAGTGGCCCAAAACGCCAGCAAACAGCCCCAAATCTGGCACTGCCCCACTTTAAATATTAAGATATTTAATGTAGTAAGATATTTAATGTAGTAATAAACGTATTCAAAAAGCTTTTTGTCGCAATGAGCTCCACCCCCCAAAAGTGGGAACTTCAGACATTTTTATGGAAGTTATATCTTTTAAAGCTGAATTTGACACCAGAAAGCCCCCAAATCCTAGAAAACAGCTCCAACTCCAGCACCGCCTAAATTTAAACGTATTAATTTAATTAACAGGCTTTAGAAGCTGCCTTTTGCCCTAAATCTGCCCAACTGCTCCCCAAAACGAGATCCCCGAGCTTCAGATTCACTCAGCTAAAATCAGTAAGCTCAAGGCTTTAAAACCCAACCCCGAAAACAGCCCAAAGGTCTAAAAATTACCGGTTACTGATTATCCCCACCCACCAGCTAATTAAACCCTGCTGCACCCTAATTAACACTCGACCCTGCCCTGCCAAAGCAATCAACACCGCTCAACCTCCTACCCCCCGTTAATTAATTTAAACCGCCTTTTCTCTCCACCAGCTCTTGGGCGGTCGCTGAGGAGTCCCAGGCAAGTAATTAGTTAGCTAATGAAGCCCACTTCATTAGCACTGGCGCTGAGAAGTTAGACGCGTGCTAAACTACTTACCCTCTCACGCCTCCCCTCGCCCCTTGACTGAGGCCGGGCTCTTCGCGCCTCACCTCTTATAGACTCACCCGTCCCGCCCCCGACCTCCCTCCAGCCAATAGGCTGCCGCTGTCAAACCTGGGCGAGAGGAGGTGCAACCGCGGAGAGAAAGCGTTGACCAATCAGCGCCTCTTCTCCCTTGGGGACCGCCGCGCGGGGCTGAGCCTATGGGAGGCCTTCCCACCTTGCACCACGGCCAATCAGCGGGCGCTACTGCTTTCCCGCCCTTGCACCTCAGCGAGAGGGCGAGCCGGCAAGATGGCGGCTAGGGGGCAGACGGCGGCTCCCCACACATCGATAGCGGTTGGGACGCAGCTTTATTTAACATCGGACACACAGCGCCCTGGACGCTGGTGAGGCCCGTGGGCACCGTGCGGGACGCTCAGGTTTACGTGAGGAGGGGACAGGAGGGTTCCAGGGCAGCCGGGGTGCCATTGAGGAGTTGCTGGGCAAAGGCCTGCTCGAGCTGCAGGAGAGAGAGGAGTGCGGTGAGGGGCGGAACCGCATCTGTGCTCCCCCCAAATCCGTCCCCAGTCCTGCCCCACAGCCTTCCCCACACATACCCGTGCTGTGCCCCACCCCCTGTGTCACATAAACCCTACATCCACACACGCTCCTTCCGCCCCATAGCTGCCTCTCACCTGCAGGACGAGAGTGCGGTTGTGGGGGCCGTCGTGAGGGCCCAGCTCCTGCCCCACAGCCAGCGTCACCCAGTGTTCAGGGCGGGGCCCCAGCCCAGCGTGGTGCTTCCCCACCTCTAGGGATGGGAAAGGGGAGTGTCAGAGGGGCATGTGGGGCAGTTAAGGGGTATTTATGGGGCACATACAGGGCTGCTGTAGGGTTACCTACAATGCATCTAAGGGGCAAGTACAGAGCTGCTTTAGGGTTACCCGTAGGGCAGTTAGGGGATATTCATGGGGCAGGAACAGGTCACTTATAGGGTCAGTATGGGGCAGGTACACGGCTGCTATGGGGCAGTTATAGGGAACCTATGGGATACTTATGTGGAAGTTATGGGGCGGGTACAAGACTGCTATGGGGCAGTTACAGGGTACCTATGGGCCATCTATGGAGCAGTGATAGGGGACTTATGGGGCACTTATGGGTTACCTTTGGAGCAGCTATTGGGTGATAAGGGTCTGTAGTCACTCACCCTCCTGGAAGCGCTGTGCGTCGAAGGCTTGCACCAGCTCCCTCTCCTGCAGGGGTCCGCCCTCTGCTGCGGGGCCAGCATGTGGGGCACGGCAGTGCACTCTCAGCCCCCCGGGCCGGCGTTGCAGGAAGAGCCCCCGCCAGGTGCTGGCCACCAGCAGCCCTGGCCGAAGCCCTGCCAGCAGCTGTCCCACGGCAGGGGGGTCACCGTTGGCCCCTGGCCCCATGGCTTGGGCGGGTAGTGACTCGGGGGGGGGCATCAGCAACAGGCGCGGCAGCATCCCAGGGTGGGGGCTGGCCCCTGGGGGCGCGGGGGGGCTCAGCAGGTAGTCACCAGGAGGGAGCCAGCCCTGCCAGGCCAGCTCGCCCTCCAGCCACAGCCGCAAGCCCAGGCAGGCCCCTCCTGTGGTGGGAGGGAGGGGTCAGGGTGGGGACACGCCCCCTGGGGAGGTGGGCGGTGCTCACCTGGGAGGGGGCGGGGCTAAAGGTAGGGCTGGGTGGTGTCATGGCGGGGGTGGGATCACAGCGGGGATGGAGCCAGGGGTGTGGTGGGAGCTGGGCTGGGGGGTGTGGCCAGGTCTGGGGGCGGAGCTAGTGTGTAGCTGGGGCGGGGGCACGTTGGGGGCGTGGCCAGGGCTGGGGTGGGGCTTAGAGACCGGGGGGCGGAGCTTACCCTCTGCCGGTGGAAGGGGCTCAGTGCTGTCCACCATGATGCCCAGTTTCAGAGGGCCCGGGGGCGGTTCCTCAGCTAAAGGGTACATGGTCAGATGCGGTGGTCCTGCCCCCAGGTCCTCCCTCTACTGCCCCCCGGCCCCTTAACCATCCCGCTGTTGCCCACCCCTGCTCCTAAGTCACCCCATCTCTCACAGGTGTCCTCAGTGTCCAGGCGGGGTTCCTCGGCTGGCACCTCATCGGGACTGGGGGTTGATGCCTGGGGGTGGGGGCAACCATCAGTGGGCTGCTCTGCACCCCCCATAACTGCACCACACACGTCCCATAGCCCCACTCCACACCCCCCACTTACCGTAGTGCTGTGGGCCTGGGCATCTCCATTGACCCGCTCCGTGGGGCTCAGTCCTTCCTCCTTCTGGGGCTGCCAGTCCCTGCGCTTCAGGGGCTGCCTGCCTGTTGGGCCGAGACACCTGGGTCCCCTCCCCACACTTGCTGCCCCCCAGATGTAGGTTCCCTCTCCCTCCCTTCCCAACACATGTCCTCCCCCACCCGATGCCCTCCACATATGGGTCCTACCACCCCCAAAATGTGGGTCCACCCCAAACCCAGTCCCCCACCGACCTGATTCCTCCCTACATGTGGGTCCCCCCCAAAACCCAGGTCCCTGACACGCATACACCTTATGCCCCCTAGATATGGGTGCCTCACACCCATGTCCCCCCACACCCAGTGTTCCCTCCCCATTGGTTCCCCTGACATTTGGGTGCCCCCCTGATCTGTCCCCGGTCTGTCCCTCCCCACCTGGCTTTTGGGGGAGCGTCAGGAGCTGATAGACCTTGTAGGGCCGGGGCCCCTCCAGGCGGGAGCGCTCCGGCACCTCCTGTAGCTCCGAGCTCTTGTTGAGGGCGCAGCGCAGACGCGTCTTACAGCTGGCGGGGTCTGGCCGCACCCCAGGGCGGAGCCGCCCCTTGAACTCCGCCCATGCCTGCACCCCACAGGGACACGCGGGGCGGCCACGAGGACGCACGACGGCCACGAGGATGCACGATGGTGATGAGGATGCACGATGGCGATGTATAAGGGTGGATCACAGAGACAGAGGTAAGGGGGAGGTCTCGCCCCACCCACCCCAGGCCCTGCCCACCCAGGCCCCGCCCATGTCACCTGGCAGAGGGCTGTGCAGGCCCCGCCCCTGGCCCCGCCCTTGCCGGCGTGCTGCCAGGGGATGCGGATGGCCGTGCGCTCGGCGTTGTCCCACACCAACCCGGGGAACTGGCCGCTCTCCACCTGTGCCACCAGCCAGGGCCGCAGCCTCCGCCCATTGGCGCCTGCCATCCTGGGGAACACTGTCACCAGGGAACAGGGGGACATCAACATTGAGAGCGTGAGGACACCAGGTCTGTGGGGATTTGGGGACGTGAACCACGGACACCAGGACCACAGGGACAGCAGGTCTGTGGTGACATGGCGACAGGGTTGTTGGGACCGTGGGGACACCATGGCCATGCAGACATTGACACTGGATGCCAAAGTCTGTGGAAACTTGGGGACAAGGGTCACAGGAGCACCAGGACTACAGGAACATGGAGAGCAGAACTATGGGGACACGGAAATGGGGACACCCCATGAGGACACCCCGTGAGGACATGGTGACATAGACACCAGCTTTGTGAGGACACGGGGATCGTGGGGACAAGGACCATGGGGATGTGGGGATATCGACATCGGGACCACGGGGACACCAGCACTGTGGTGACCGGGACGCTGAGACTGTGGGAACGGGTACGGCAGAGCCATGGGGGCGTGAGCACCAGATCTGTGGGGACGGGGACCGTGGGGACACGGGGACCCGCGGGGAGAGGGCTACCCACCTGAAACTCGCCTTCGCGCTGCGGCTTCCGCGAAATCACGTGACGCCGGCTGGCACCGCCCCCGCCCCTTAAGCCCCGCCCTCAAGGCGCCGCTCCGGGAGGGCGGGGCCGTCCCTGGTCGCGCGGCGGTAGGGGCGTGGCCAGCGGCTCGCGGGAGGTGTCCCCAGCCCGGCCGGCGTGTGAGAGAAGCGCCGGGTCCAGGCGGTGCTGGTTCATCAGCCCCACCAGGGACTCGGTGTGCTGCCCCCTGCCGGCGGGGAGGGCAGCCCCGCCGTTAGCTGCACACCACCGCCACCCCCCGCGACGCCCAACACTGAACGCTCCCCAGAGACCCCCCCAGGTGCCCCATAGGGACTCTAGATATTCTTCTAAGGACCTTCAAATATTGTGCAGGGACCCGCAAGTGCCCCTTAGGGATCGCTAAGTACTCCCCCATTGCCTCATAGCGACCCACAGCTGCCCCATGGGGAACCTCTGGGACCACCAGCACCCGATACTGCCCCATAGGAATCCTTTAATATTCCCCCAGAGACCCCTAAATACCACTCAGGGGTACCCCCATTGCCCCATAGCGACCCACAGCTGCCCCATGGGGAACACCTGGGACCACCAGCACTCAATAGTGACCCCAGCATCCCACCCCATGGGGAATACCATCACCCCACACTGCCTCACCAGGACCTTAATCATCCTATAGGGACTCTCCCTGCCTCCCAGCACTCCATGGTGCTCCGTGGGGACCCACAGCTGCCCCACAGGATCCAAACTGCCCCAGAGAGCCCACCAGCACCCCACAGTGATCCCTTGAGCTCCCTGGCTGCCCCATAGCAGCCCCTCCTTCACACTTGGGCTGCTCCCCAGCCCCACATCTCCCCCTGCTCTGCGCACTGTGTAGGTGGGGGTCAGCTTCACTTCCTCCTTAGGATTCAGTCCACAATATGGAGGATTCAAAGCTTTGTTTTAAGCCCCTAAAGACCCATTTTTAGGGTGCAAAGCCTTGGGGTTTTTTGGTACTGAAGCATCATTTGAGGGCACAAAATCTAACTTCAGGGTTCAGAGCCTCATTTTCATTTCTAAGACCCAGACCCTCCTTCTGAAAGTCCAAACATCTCTTACAGCTCTAAGCCTCCACTGTAGCGCCCAAAGCCCTATATTCAGGACCAAAGCTTTGTTTATTGGGAGCACAGAGGAACTGATACAATCTCCTTGTGGCGTCCCCTTCTCTGGAGGTTTTCAAGACCTGCCTTGATGCAGTCCTGAGTGACGTGCTCTAGGCACTCCTGCTTTAGCAGGGGCGTTGGACTAGATGATCTCTAGAGGTCCCTTCCAACTCTGTCAAATCCGTGAACCCTCCTTTACAGGATCCAAAGTGTAATTTGTAGCACCTTGCCTGTCCTTTTTAGTGCCCAGAGCATTCTTTTTAGGGCCAAAATTCTCATTTTTAGGGTCCAAATCTCTCTTTTATTACCCATAGAGTTTATCTAGGGCCCACAGTTTAATATTTAGAGTCTAAACCCTTACTTTTTGGGGCAGAAAACCTCATTTTAGGGTCCAAAGCTATATTTATAGTGTCCAAAGCTTCATTTTTACTTTCCAAAGTTTTTGTTTTGTTTTCCAAAGCCTCATTTGCAGACTCAAAATCAGCACTTGTAGGATCCATCTCCTTTTATAGACAGAATGCACATTTTAAGGCCCAAAGCTTTGGAAATCGTACTTTGGATACCCCGAAGATTACAAACCCTGTGGTCCTCAGCACGTGTTCCTTTCCTCTGCTTAGCACTCCCACAGTCCCATCACAAGAGCAAGGGCACAAGATGGGCGTGAAACAAAATGTGCCTGTTGAGGGGGAAGAACAGGGCCCTCACCCCCTCTGCTCTTTTCTTTCCTGACCTGTGGTACGATGGGAAATGGTCCAGGCACAGCCCTGGTGTGGGAGACGGAGCTTTCCACACCTCAAAGTGCATGATGCCCAGCCCAGGATCGCACCGACCAAGCAAAGCATTTCAGTGTACGCTTTACCCTCCAAGGAGTAGCAGGAAACATATTTTCCCCAGTGATTGCAAAGAGATGTTTTGTGAGGTCTCTTTCTTGGTCTACATAAACACATGGCCAAACCGCACACAAGCACATTGGACTGAGCCACCGCACTTGGGGTGAGTCTTCTCATTTGTGTTACATGTAAGGAAATAACCAGCAAAAAAAAAAACGGGAGAGACTTTTTGCTTACATTAGGTCATGAAAATGAGACCCACTGGTTCTAAAGGGACCAAGATGACTTTAGGAGAATAATGCTGGCACCATGCCAATGTGTTTATCCCAAGAATTCCAGCATCTTTTGCAATTCTCCACATCATATCGGAGACATGATTGCATTTCAGTAGTCCACAAAACGACTCCCATACAAGCTTACCTTGGAATTGCAGTGATACTTGCAAAATTAGGCTGGTGCAGAATCCCAGCCGGGATGACTTCAAAGAGGAACAATGAACTATACATCTTGCCAACCTTTATCAAGCATCTTTAGAACCAGCTGTGGGCTTTTGTCCCTCAAGGAGTCACCAGCCATATGCCTGTTACTACACTTCAGGAAGATCAGAGCAAGCCTGGGTGGTCTGGAGCGTACAGATCAAACCCAGTGTATGCAGAAGTGTGGGACAGTGGTTTAAAATAAGGAAGAGAACAACATTTCTCTATACTTGGAGAAATTTCTCCATACTTGGAGGTTCTTGAGTTGAGTCTAAACACAGAGTCATGAGAAGAAACACAGCACTGAATAAGGACTTCTCCAGACACAATGCTTTCTTATTGCACATCCTCTACACTAGAAAGAGCCGTGCTGCACTTCCAGTTGCAAACACAGGACAAAATTCATCCCTGCCATAACGTCGTGAAGTCACGGGGACCCCTTCCTCAGGCCAAGGAGGACTTGTGTCCCAGCACAGGGTGCACTTGGTGCAAAACCACCCTGATTTGCATCTTGGCTCCATCCCACCTGAACGTCTAGAGACAGCCGAGCGTGTGATCTTGGGGAGAGCTGAGACAGGCACTTCATACATTCAGAATTGAAGTGAGATAGAAGACACCCTCCCTCAAAACCATCCTGCTTCAAAAAGCAGCTCCATGATTCAGCAGAGAGCATCACTTCACCGCTGTACATCTGTATCAGCCATACGTTACTGGGCAAAAGCTGCCTTCTTCCTCTCCCTGTGCCCAGCGCCAGGAGATGCATCCCATTGTGACTAGAGCAGCCAGGCATTGTGTGTTGTGTGCTGAAGCAACCTGCGCCAACGCTCTCGGTCACTCATTAAGCAGGCAGAGGAGAGCGTGGCTGCGTTCCTCTCCCCACGCACACAGCCATCTCACCTTGGAGCCTGTGTCACTGGACCCACAGGGATCCAAGGTACCACCTCCCCCCAGGGACTGGAGGGTGAAGTGGGGGGCAGCAGAGGAGCAGATTAAGGGGATTTATGGAGGGGAAGGGACAAATGATTTGGAGGGCTACAGCCCTGGAGGTAACTGGGGTATGTTCCCACAAGCCACCACTGCCAAGAGCAAAAAGCATCACCACAAAAAGGAGGGTCTTGCGGGAGAAGTCAGGGGGTGCCAGGGGCTCAGCCCCTGCAGGCGTGGCAGGGTGGTGGAAATTGGCAGCAGGGAGTGGGGACAGTAGCCGTATCCTCCAAAGACGCTGGAGCCTTGTCCCCAGGCAGTTGGCCCATGGCTTCCTGGGCCTGGGCAGTGGTGAGGGCAGGCAGTTACCCATTGCTAGATCATATCACTGGGGGGTCACAAAATCTTACTTTTAGAATTCTGTATTTCTTTATTTTTTCAATCAAGCATGTTCATCTTGTGAAAGCCACGTTCTCAAAGTCACGCTGGTTCTCATTACAGTATCACTGGCACCAGGGACACAGTAGCTAATAGCTACTAATAGCTAATTTCTGTTTATGATACATAAGCTGTGTGAGCCGCAGGTACTTCAGCTGAAGCACAACAGAAACACCTTCCATCTTGGCTCAGCAGACCAATTCTCAGATTGGCAGAAATTTTGGCAGAGTGTATGCGAGCATAATTCCTGAATTATTAGTGAATCTATTAAGCAGAGGTAGAACCTCTCAAGGTGAAGAGGGGGGTAGCAGGAGACCAGTTGGTTGGAATATATAAAAGGCTACAGAAAACATTAGAAACCATACAATGATAAAGGAAAATTCCTCTGAAACTCCACCTCTTCTACCAGTTTTTTCCCATCTATATATTTATAAGCTAAGCTTTACAATTAAGAGAGAAGAGTGACAGCTGTGATTGTACTCCCTCACAGCTGCTTTTCCTTTGGTTCTTACTGTTATTATTGCCCCTTACACAGCAATTGAGCTTTGGAAGCATGGCTAGGAATTCCAATGAATTTGAAAGCAGTTCGGAGAATACTGCGCCCAGTGGAGAAGAGGACAGTGCCAGCTGGGAGCAGTACTTAGAAAGGAGAAACCTTGTTCTGCAGTTCCTGCACTCCAACCTGAGCCTCCACTACCTCCAGCACCAACGGAACAAAGCTGAGCTTTTGAAGAAGTGTTGCTTTTACTTGGAGATAGAGCCCAAACATGTGAACATGATAGACCTCAACTACGAGATGCATTGCATTGACATCTTGGAAGTAATAGACCCCATCCAATGGGAGAGGATGAAGAAAGTGGGAAGAAACCAGGCTCAAATCCAGCTGTCGCTTTTAACCGACCTGTTGGAGCAGCTGAAACAAGGCCGGGAGGAGCTGAGCTGCTGCGTAGAGACCTGGGACATGGCAACTTTCCTCTCTGGGTGGGAGGGCATAATGCAGAGACTGTTCAAACTCATGGAGTATATGCAAACTCTCATTCCCTTGCAAGTGCCTGGACAGCTCTATGTCAAGCACCGTTTGGTGTCACGTGCAGATCTTGCACCTTTAAACCACAACATCAGGCTTTCTCTCAGTACAAAGATGCCACTGGTTTTTGATCGAAAAGGATCATTTGCAGGCAAGGAGTGGGCCAAGCTCAAGTGGTCTGATGAAAATCAAGCGTCACCCCCAGAACAATGCGAACTGCACATTAAGTTACTGACAAATGGGAGTCAGGCAGAACCAGAACACAGTTGGTTTTATCCTGTTACCTCCAACGTGTGTATAGTCCACGACCTGCAGCCTGGCAGATCGTACAAATTCACAATTAGTAGATCACTCACTCGCACTTTTGTCTTTGGAGACTGGCACGACAGCATCACACTGAAGACAAAACCTGACGCTGCTGAAGACGGGGACAGCAGCACTTGGACGCCAGAAGGATAAGGTGGCATTTTTCTCATTGTATCCATTTGAAAAAGATGAATGAGAAAAATTAAACCTTATATTTAAACCTTTTGCATAAAACTGAACTCATTCTGTTCTCAACAATTCTACAAGTGCCTTTCCCAAATCTTTCCAGGTTAACAGTAACCCATTCCAAACATCCTTAGGCAGCGTTCAGGACTCAACGCTCACATTCTGCTGCCAAAACTCACAGATGGGAGCAGCTGGAAGCAGGCACTCTTGCAGGACACCCTGGATGCAAAGGACAGGAGAGAGAAGCATCTCCATCATGCAGTGCTTTCTAACCACCAAAACATGCCCAGTGCCAGCTTCTTGCAATGATGTTTTGGTTTTTTTACCCCAAATTATTTTTTCTCCCACATCCTTTCTCCAAAACAGGAGATCTGAACTGAATCCTGAGCTCTTCATGTCACTCACCGGAATTTATCTCTATCTCTGGTTGTTGTGGTTTGGCCTCAGATGGCAACAAAGAACCACACAGCTGCTCTCTCAGCCCCTTCCCTCACCCCAAGCCGCGAGGGGAGAGTAGGAAGAGAATGGCAAAACTCATGGGTTGGCACAAAAGCAGAACAGCCCAGCCAGCTCCCTAACAGCAACTTCTTGCCCCCTTTCCTCCTGGGCCAGCTCCAGGGTGCAGACTGGGCATGGCTCACAGGGGATGGAATACCTGTGTCCCTGCTAGATCCTGGGGAGAATTAACCCAATCCCTGCCAGAACCAGGACATTACCCACCCCTTATTCTATACCATCTACGCCGTGACCAGATCTTACAGTTTTCAATTAATTGCCATCACTTTCCCCTGTCTTATATATGTACATACGCACAGATATATATCCATAGAGATATGAGGCCATCGCTCTAAAATGTTCGTTGAGTTCATTTCATCCATGACTTTGAGCTCCATCTGTTAGTCTCTCAGGGCAGGCAAGACAGTGTGTGGTGCTGGGCTGTTGCTGTATTTTCAGGGCTTGTGGTTGATGTGTCTGGTGCAGCTCATGCCCATGGAGAAGTTGATCTCGATGAAGTTGCTGGGTGCCAGCTGCTGAGGTCAGTTCTGATCCTTTCACTGCTGCACTTTACTTGGTTTTTCATCAAAGTCCATCTGTTGCTAGTTTGGGCGATTCCTGGCGGGGAGCACATAAACCAGAGAGGAATTTATGTAACACAGCCACGACGACAACCAAAGCCACACGGTGACCGGCGGCTATTCGGCCAACACACTCGAGGCAGACAACAAACCCCTTCTAACAAGCTCTGGTGGGATCTCTCAACCCTCCGACAGCCTTGGGCCCCAAAAAGGACCCTCGGTGGTTTGGCCTCAAGGCGGCGACAACGAGCCACGTGGCAACTCCAACCCCGGCCGTGAGGGGAGAATCGGAAGAAAAAGGCGAAACTGGTGGATTGGGACAAAGTTTGACAGAACAAGAGAACAACAGTGACACGGACGGAGGAACAGACCGCCACGATGAAGGACACCACCGCTCACCGACCGGCTCCCCCGACGCGCCTTCCCGCCCCCGGGCAGCTCCCGGCGCCCCCCTGGGCAGGGCTCACGTGGGAGGGGATACCTGTCACCCTGCCAGATCCCGGGGACAATTAACCCTATCCCCGCCGGAACCGGCACGCTGGTTCCTCTCACTCTGCACACCCTGTGCTTTACAGGTTCCTGAGCGTGATTTCGTGCTCGCCCCTCTACAGGGCACAGAAGATCACTCTGATTGAAAAAACAACAACAAATCAACCACCCCCACAACAAACAAGGAAGGGTACTACGTTGACACGACCAATATGTAGAAAACAATCTTTTCTGCCATGTACTGCAGTTAATACTCATGTTTCCAGGGATGGGGCATCTCCCACCTCCCAGGGCAACATTGCCAGTGTTTTACCACCCTCATTGTAATAAAGCCTTCCTTATATCTGCTCTGAATCTTCCCTCTTTTAGTTTAAAACCGTTACCCCTTGTCCTATTGCAATAGGCCCTCACAAAAAGTTTGTCCCCATCTTTCATGTTAGTCCCCTTTAGGTACTGGAAGGGGCTATAAGATCTCCCCGGAGCCTTTTCTTCTCCAGGCTGCACAACTCTCTCAGCCTGTCTTCATAGAGGAGATGGTCCAGGCCTCTGATCATTTTTGTGGCCCTCCTCTGGACTCGTTCCAACAGGTCCATGTCCCTCCCGTGCTGAGGACTGCAAAGCTGGAAGCAATATTCTAGGTGGGGTCTCACCAGAGTGGAGGAGAGGGGCAGAATCACCTCCCTCAACCTGCTGACCGCTACCGTCTGATGCCATCATCCAACCCACTCCTCATCCACTGAACAGCCCACCCATCAAACTCCTCTCTCTCCAACTGAGAGAGCAAGATGCTGTGGGGTATCGCCCTCAGAGAGGCCCGGACAGGCGACACCCGCAGCTCTTGCCCTTCTCCACTGAGGTACCGCGCAGTGTCTTCCCGACCAGCCGGGGTTCGGGCGCGGCACCAGGCGGGCGCGGCCTCCTCCGCCCGGCGGGACCCGCGCGGATTGGCTGCAGCGGGCTGTCCAGCAAGGGGAGCTTTGATTGGCTGGGGAGGTCACGTGAGGCGGAGGCCGCTGGCCCTTGACAATAAACATGGAGTCCATCTTCCACGAGCGGGTGAGTGGGTGCGGAGGGGTCGCGCTTCCCGCTGGTGGACGGGGCGCTACTCCGGGGGTGGCCCTGGGTGGGGGGCGCCGGATTTAGGGACCGCGCCGCGCTGCCCCCAACACTTCTCTGTCGGCCGGGCGAGGCCGCGGCTCGGTGTGCTCTGTCCCGAGGTGAGCGGGGCCCTCTCGGCTGCGGCCCGGCCCTGTCGGGCTCGGCGGGGGCAGGAGACGTTGTCAGCGGAGATCAGAGGGTCAGGCCTGAGCTCGGCGTTTGCCCCCGCGCGGTGGTTGTTCTCCTCGGGCCTTCAGAAGGGGACCCCGGGCAGGGGGAGGTGCCGGCTGCGGCCGATGCCGGGGGAGCCGGGCGGGGTGAGGGCGGGCAGGGCCGGGGCCGTGTGGGGAGCAGGGGAAGGGAGGGCTGTTGAGGAAATCCGGATTCATCTGCTGTGCTTCTACGTGCTGAGCAGCATCTTCTCTTCTGGAGCACAAACGCAGCTGTGAACTGCTGTGACTTGTCCAGGCTCCCAAACTGCACATATTTCTGCTCTAATGCTGTTCAAATATAAGTGTCTATTTTTAATGTGTTTTCCCAATACCTCTGCACCCTTATTGCATTAAGAATAACACTAGTTTACTTGGCAAATAAAGCAAGGTAGCTGTACAACATCCTTAAAGATAAAAGTGTTTTTTAAATTTATTTGAAATCCATAGAACCTGAGGGGTGTTCTTTCAAACTAGGTTCAGGTAGCAAAACTTGACAAGCATTGTGGTGTTAAACAGCTGTCACTCAGGGGGTGAGTGTTGGATTTCAGCCCTTATGGCCCTTGCTACAGTGACCTTGAGTTCCAGTCTAGGTTTGAAAATGAGTTTGAAACAGGTGTACCTTTCTCTTTTCTGGCCTAGCCTATTGCATCATGAAATTGTAAATTTTTTATTACTAGGTTGCTTTACAAAACTCTGCTGAAATTGAGGTAACAGCACAATACATTTGAAGTTACAAGCTGATTGTAGTTACTACAAGTTTTGGGGAAGCAGGGTATAGGCTTGGGTGTCTCGCGTGTGAAATATAACCACTCCCTGGTAAGTTGTACCTCAATACCTCTCTTAAACTGGAGTACCAAATAGGTTTTATCTTGTTATCATTATTATTCTTGGGTAAACTTAACTGAACCTCTGTTGTTTGGGGTTTTCCCCCTCCTCGAGTGCACTGTCTCAGTTCCTGTCAAAATACTTGAAGCACTGCACGTGCACGCACACCCGGTATTTGAAATCCATAGAACCTGAGGGGTGTTCTTTCAAACTAGGTTCAGGTAGCAAAACTTGACAAGCATTGTGGTGTTAAACAGCTGTCACTCAGGGGGTGAGTGTTGGATTTCAGCCCTTATGGCCCTTGCTACAGTGACCCTGAGTTCCAGTCTAGGTTTGAAAATGAGTTTGAAACAGGTGTACCTTTCTCTTTTCTGGCCTAGCCTATCGCATCATGAAACTATACATTTTTTATTACTAGGTTGCTTTACAAAACTCTGCTGAAATTGAGGTAACAGCACAATATGTTTCAAGTTACAAGCTGATTGTAGCTGCTACAAGTTTTGGGGAAGCAGGGTATAGGCTTGGGTGTTTCGCATGTGAAATATAACCACTCCCTGGTAAGTTAGTTGTACCTCAATACCTCTCTTAAACTGGAGTACCAAATAGGTTTTATCTTGTTATCATTATTATTCTAGGGTAAACTTAAGTGAACCTCTGTTGTTTGGGGTTTTTCCCCCCCATCAAGTGCACTGTTTCAGTTCCTGTCAAAATACTTGAAGCACTGCATATATGTGCACAGCCGACACTTGAATCCACATACCATAGGTGTTACAATAAAAAAGCATGAAAAACATATTTTGTTAAATTTTCTTTATGAATACCAAAAACCTAAGCAATGTGGCATTTTTAACAGGGGAATGACAATTGCAGAAAGTAGGACTCAAGGATGGAGCTTAAGGAGTCCCTATCTTAGAAACTGGCCTTTTCTTTGATAAGATACAAGTGGTTGAAAACGCTGAAATCAGGGCAGCGGTTTATATTGGGATAGGTTTCAGCAAAGGGATTTCAGATTATGGGAAGATGTGGTATTGTCTGCACAAAAAAAAAAAGGAAGCTAATTTCTGTTAAAAATTGTAAGATCTGTTTTCTCATGGGAAGATGTGGTATTGTCTGCACAAAAAGAAAAAAAGGAAGCTAATTTCTGTTAAAAACTGTAAGATCTGTTTTCTCCATTTTGCTCTTAATATGTACACATTCTGTATCTGAAAATTAATGTTTAAGATAACTTTAAGATAAAACTGTACAAATACAGGAAGGTCCTTTTAGTGAAGCCTGTAATACAACTCATTTTCAAAGATTGTTTTAAATAGCTCTTTGCTTCTAAATTGGTTTTCTTTAGTTCTGGTGGAGAAGCCTGTAGTTCTTGAGCAGGTTCTTCTGTTGCAGTTTCATCACGTGAGCAGCAGCAGGGATGAGGCCCTGAAGGGATGGGAGCTGGTGTTTAGTCTTGAGTTCGTTGTTGTGGGAAGGCCGTGAGCTGGAGGAGGCTTCTGGATTCTGTTGGACCCTGGCTGTACAGCCAGTCCAGCTTTTATAACTCATTGCTCAACTGAGGGATGAAGCCCTAGGAAGATCCTGTCATCTCGGGTAAAGGGAACTTTGGAAGTTCCTGCTGTAAGGGAGATCACGAGACATTTGTGCGTATGACTTGTATGAGGATTTCATGGAAGGTTAAAGAATATTCCTTCAAGGAATGCTCTAGTATTCTTCATTTGTGTGGGTTTGGCGGGAGGGATGGATGCTCTTTATTTTTGTTGAGGGGTTTTAGTGCTGTTCTAAATGGAGTGCATGCATATTAGAGTTCTTAATGTAACTAAAAATGAGGACTGACTGAAGCAAAATGCATTTTAAGACTGATGTTAATCTTGTCTTGCACTTGTAGTTTAGTTATTTGTAAAAAAAGATTCCTTTTCATGGGAAACTAATTTGGTTGGTTGGGGTTTGTTTTTTGTTTTTGTTTTACAAGGCAATATTTTATTTGCACTTATGAGAATGGAGTCTGATGTACATTCATTCAGACTAGATATTTTTGAATTTGTGCTACAAAATCATGACTGACATTTCTAATTTACTCATTTTTAATTTGGGTTGACAGTTACATTTCTGTTGTCTCCCTTGTGCTGGATATGCAACAAAGTATCTAAAGTGTTTTCCATTTAAATGCTTTAGCAACAAAAATATTTTTGTTGTTTAATATGCTGAATTTAATATTTTTTTTCTTGTCACCTCATCATTTCCATCAAGACTTTAGAACCAGTAGCACTAGCTTCTTTTACCTAGCTCCTATACGTAAATTTCACGTGGAAAATGAGCTTTACTGCTCTTCCAGCTCCTAATCACTTTCTTGACAATAAACAGATTGATTATAACCTGAACTGGGTGAGTAACCTGAAATGAAGGAAATAAATTCTGTAGATGTATAGTTTTAAAGCTCACTAGAGTCCTAATAGTCTGCCTTTCTCTAGTCTTATGTGGAGAGCAGATTGCTGATAACCACACCTGACAGGGAAGAGAAGTTAAAAAAGAAAGAGAACATCTGTGGCAGAAAACACTTGTTACTGGGAAGTAGAGATCTAAACCTTTTCATTTTCATGTGGTGGTCATTTGGAAGAGGACAGAATCCATTGTCCTGCTGGTTGCAGAGTCCTTGTGTGATTTGGTCAGGACATTGGCAATTTTTACAGTGTTTTGAAAATAACATTTTTACAAGAAATGTATTTCCTCAAAAGAAATAAAGTCACGTGTGTTGGGTTGGGTTTTTTTCCCCATCAAATTGATGGGAGGGTTGTACTGTATAGCTTGCAGTGTGATAGATGTGAAGAATACACGGCTTCCTGGGTGAGTGGGGAGGGCAGGAAGTTTGCTAGAATGAAATCGTTGAGTCATTTTCCAGAGTGAAAGATTAACATGTTTTTTGTTGTTGTCTCTGGTATTTTTTTCTCTCTTCCAATGTTAGCAAGAAGGCTCGCTGTGTGCTCAGCACTGTCTGAATAACTTGCTACAAGGGGAATATTTTAGTCCTGTTGAGTTATCCTCGATTGCACAGCAGTTGGATGAGGAAGAAAGAATGAGAATGGCAGAGGGAGGAGTGTCTAGTGAAGAATATAGAACTTTTTTACAGGTAAAATCTTTTTAATTTGAGGTTGCTTGATATTTGCCTGAAAACTAATATTGTGTAGCACAGACCTGCTATTCTTGTGCGTCTAGAGAAGATTAATTTTCTAGTGCTCAAACTTCTTAAATTTATAGGCCTTTTCATTCACATATCTTAACTGTGGCATTTTTAAATGACACTAGCACAGCTTTACCATAATCCTACAAAAAGCTACATGGTTTTCATCTTGCAGTTAGGAAGGTCAGGCCTGGCGAGGGGGAGGATCAGCAATTTGCCTTTTGTTTTTGTAAGCTGATGGCAGAGAGAGGAGCAGACATTCCTGTACCTGTCTGTCTCTTAAGCACTGAGCGTTTCTGATTTAAAGGTTTGAATTTTTAAGTAATAAGCTTATTTGGGCATTGTAATCAGCCTTGTAGACTAGGACATGTTTAGTTGTTGCTTGAAGCACGTGCAGTTACATTTATTCTCAAAACAATTATTTCTGACCTTATATGCTTACACCATTTTTTCCTTTTCTCCCTCCCAACTTCGCACTGAGCAGCAGCCTTCTGTAAATATGGATGATAGTGGATTCTTCTCAATTCAAGTAAGCATGGCTCTTTACTGACAGAATTTTTTTATTTATGCAATATACATTCTTTCATAAAATTTAAATGGCATTGAACTATTTCATCTAGTTTATAGGCTTAATGGGAATAAGTGCTGGACTTCTAAATCTTCAGAGTTTTTCATTAAGAGCAGTTACTTGCAGTTTCTCAGTTCATGGGCCCTTGAACACAGAGGAGAGCTATGGGCTCCTAAACTGAAAAACTGTGTCACCTGCTGACAATAAGCTTGATTTCTAAGTTGCTTCTTGTGGGGGACTTCAGGTGTAGACCTTGGTTCTCATAGACTACAGGTGAAAAAGCAGACTTGATATTTTCTCAAATTATAAACTGTAAAGCCCTTGGCAATGGTTACAGGGTTATCACAGTGATCTGCTGAATGGAAAAAGCTGCAATGGCTGCATTGCAGTTTTTATAACACTCTCCAGATACTTTAGAGCTGGAGATTTTTTTTTTTTTTTTCTTTTTTTTTTTTTTTTTTTTAAAGGACCATAAGGGAAAAGTAATTAATAAGAAATACTTAAACCGGAACAACAACAAAAAAAGGTATTGAACACTGAATTGGGGCATGCTTCTAGATGAAAGCTGTAGGCAATGCTTTGCACCTTTGGCTGTCTCCTGAGCTTTCAGAAGTGATTGTCAAGGTTCCAGAATCCCTCAAGAGCCTCTCTTCCTTATGGAAGGACAGGCTGTTTTTCTATTTAGTGAAAGACCATTAACAGTTTGGCTTGATTGGGCTGCTTCAATATTGAAGTTGAAAAATAAATGTTTCCTCATATTCTACATTTTTTTGTCCTGTCATCGCTTTGCTCACTTGCATAGTTGGCTCAGTGAAAGGAAGATGAATTGTTAATTTAAAAGTTTTACAGCACTATTTCAGACAGTTTTAAAGAGTTATTGTGAAAATGTTTGTGCTAATGTACCTGACTGATCCTGTGATAATCCAGTGGTGCAAAATTTCCAATAGTCACTGTGGGGAAGGATGATGTACTGGGGGGAGAGAGGGCGGAGTGGTACATTGAGAGCTGAGAGATGACAAGTTATGAAGTGTCTGTGGGCGGTGAAGCTACAGCTTTGTCTGGGGGAGTAAGCTTATTAACACATTTCACCTAAATCCTGGTTTTATTACTTCCCCTTGGATATAGTAAGCATGGTATGTTTGCATGTAGACTCATGACAGTTTCCTCCTGAATAATGTGATTCCTAGGGTTCCTAGCAATGTTTTGAAATCTTAAGTTTTATGAAAATAGTAGAATTGCTTGTAGCAGCTAAGATGATTGCATTGCTTACAATTAGATTTGATTGCTTTGACTCTTGAAAATTGCTATTTTTTTAACAGGTCATAAGCAATGCCTTGAAAGTCTGGGGTTTAGAACTAATCCTCTTCAACAGTCCAGAGTATCAAAGGCTTGGGATCGACCCTATGTAAGACTTTTTCTTAGCATCCTGCTTTCCTTTTACAGAAAAATAATCCTTTTAATCTATGATTTAAATCTTTCTTTAAAATTACTATTTTAAGCTGTGTTGCATTCTGGTGTTTTTATTTTCTCATCTGTCTTTAATTTTCTCCTTTTGGGGGTGTGCATGAGTATCTGTCCTCTGTGCCTTCATGATATCTCAGTATCTGTGGGATCACAGGTATATAGAGGTGTCAGTAATGTTGATAACTTCCTAAATGTTATAAAAGCAGTATGAGTATTCTAACAGCAACAGTTGTATTACTGAAATTTTATGATATAAGTTTAAATTAGTGATAAAAGAGAACTTAAACATTAATATACACTCCAATATTAGAGTATTTAATTTTTTCTATACTTTTTTCTTTTTACAGAAATGAAAAATCATTTATTTGTAATTATAAGGAACACTGGTTTACAGTTCGAAAGTTAGGAAAACAGGTGACATTGTCTTTTTTTATTTAAAAATTGACTTCAGAATGGGGGGTGGAAAAGTGGTTGCGAGTAGACCATGTGTTGGCCTTCTGCAAGCCTTTGCTGCAATTTGCTTTAATGGTATACCATATTGGAAAGAAAAAAAAAAAAGAAGAAAAAAAGAGTAAATGTTATATCCAAAAATTCTAGGCAGCTTTTTATGAATGTTAGCCTGGGGAAAGAGCCTAGGATCAGTTCCCCAGTGAACCTGTCCTCAAGGGAGCTGCAGCTCTGGTAGAGTCTGTGTGACACCTTAAGGTCTTTTCTTTTCTGCATGAAAAGTAGCAGAAACAATTTACAGGGCAGGAAGAAGGAGTCCTAGACAAGGATTAGAATCCCTATAGAATGCAAACTTATTTCAGTGCACTAAGTTATTGATGTAAAAATATTTTTGCTCGTTTAAATGGACAGTGGGCATAAGAAAAAGTTCCAATTTCAAATGTATTAGTATTTGTGATTGCTTGTGTTTATGAGATTCCCATCAGAATAAGGCTGGGGAAAGTAGAATCACAACTTCGCACTATTTTAGAAAACTTTCTGAGATGGTTGTACTATAAGCAGAAAATAGTTATTAAAGGTAAGGGATGGCCACAGAAGTATATTGTCCATATACATAGTAAATCACACTCATGTCCCTTGTAACACCAATGCAGTGCTTTATTTCAGTAGCCAATCATTGTTCTGGATCATACTGTATAAGCTTTTATAAGATGGTTTGGTGTTTGGTTTTTTTTTGTCACGGAAAATGTTCATGAAATAAGCTTGTAGATTCTGCAGTAGTGGACAGGAGTCCCTACTCATTTGGTTCAGTTTGCAAGCAGTGGCTACAGGCTGGAGCACCTCTTCTATGAAAATGGGCTGAGAGAATTGGGGTTCTTCAGCCTGGAGAAGGCTCCGGGGAGACCTTATAGCCCCTTCTAGTACCTAAAGGGGATACAGGAGAGATGGGGAGGGACTCTTTGTGAGGAAGTGTAGCAATAGGATGAGGGGTAATGGCTTTAAACTGAAAGAGGGGAGATGTAGATGAGATAATAGGAAGAAATTCTTCACTCTGAGAGTAGTGAGACACTGGCACAGGTTGCCCTGGGAAGTTGTGGTTGCCCCATCCCTGGAGGTGTTCAAGGCCAGGCTGGATGGGGCTTTGAGTAACGTGGTCTAGGGGGAGGTGTCCCTGCACATGGCAGAGGGTTTGGAACTCAATGATCTTTAAGGTCCATTCCAACCTAAACCATTCTATGATTCTATGAAAATTTAAAAAAAAAAAATGACCTGTGAGTAAAAAACCTAAACTCTGCTGTTCTGCTTTACTTTAAAAATATTGCTAATGTTTACAGGCAATTTTTGTATATTTGATATCAAAACCACTGAACAGTCTCTTAAAAGTACAGGAATGTTCCTTATTATGAAACACGTTGTATGGAATTTTGTGAGATAAAACACTTTGGGCCAGAATGCCAAGTGATATAGGGGATGTCTTTTACTTATGTACATGTGGCTTGTAGCCACATGAAGACAATACTAGCTGTCTGTTACCTAGAGCGTAATGAGAAACAATTGACAAAATAGATTTACTTAATTTTACCTGCTTCTCTTCTGTCATGGTTAAAGCAAAATTAGTTTATCAAACCTTCCTCTTCCATGGGGAAAGGTTTAAAAGTTTGTCTGTAATCTGCCTGTCGTATTTGTTTATGTAACGTTTTATTCCTCACTCCTATGCTGTTGGTGGTGTTAACCTTCCCTAGTGGCAAAGGCTGTTTTTGATAAATGAAGTGACTGAATGATAGAGTGGTAGCTGGTCACTTACCTATATCCCAGGTGAATTATAGTATGGGCCTGACTGCAAGTGTTTGACTGCATATATGGAAGTTTGGGTAAATTTTTCTGAGAATGGAGGTAGAATTTTCCTTCTATCTGAATGGTGCTTCCTGGTTAAAATTAGATAATATTAGATAATATTGAATGAGTATGGTATAAAAAAAGTTTTTCAGATTGTTTGCAATATATTTGAGGTTTTAAAGGTAGAATATTTTGTTGTCCGTGTCAACTATATTTTCTTTCTAGAAGTAATATAAATGACTAGCTCTCTTCTTCAGGGAGAGAAACGATCTGTCTGTATTTATCTCGAGTGTCTCCTACTGCAATATTATGCTGTACTATCAGCATATTAAATTTGAGTTCATTTTTCTTAATTTTTAAATGTAAAAATTATTTCAGAGCGAAGTAAACTAGATTTTTCAGCATCAGCAGCTATTAAAGGCAGCATGTTTAATGACAGCATTTCATGGAAAGACTTCTACTTCCTGTATCTATCAGTTTCTTAAGATACAGCATTAATTTATGAAGGGCTTCTTCATTAGTCTCTGAACACATTTAAAACTAGGATTAAGCAGAATTTTGGAATGATGCCTGAAATAATTCTTCTACCATTATATTTTATCTGTTTGAATCTGTTTGCCTGGTACCAGTGTTCAGTAATGGAAGAGAGCATGCAGTCATTGCCCCGCTTCAGATCTCCTCTTAGCTGAAGGGTATTTGAAGGGTAACCTTTAGCAGTATAGGTATTGTGCTTCAAAAGACTTTTGATAGTTTATTTCACTAGATTTATTCGGATATTCCATCATAGAAAATGACCACAATGTACAGAAATGGATTACCGAGAAATCTTTATGCTAATTTGTTCTCTCAAACCTTTTTTTTCTTAATTACAGTGGTTTAACTTGAACTCTCTCTTGATGGGTCCAGAACTAATATCAGATACATATCTTGCACTTTTCTTGGCTCAATTACAACAGGAAGGTAATAGTAACTTGCAGATGTTAAATCTCATTAATTAAAAGTAGGTAATAATCATTATTTATTAGAACTTATGTATTCAGTTAACTACCCTTAGTTTTATGATTGAAATAGTGAAATAACCCAAGTCCTTATAATGAAAGGTAGAGCCTTACATTGTAATAAATTGCACATCATTGTGTTCCGTATAGTGTGCATTTTAGAGTGTTTATGCATGCACCTTAATGCTGTAGACTTACGGTTTGTTTTTCTCAGGTTATTCCATATTTGTAGTAAAAGGCGACCTCCCAGACTGTGAGGCTGATCAGCTGTTGCAGATGATTCGGGTACAGCAGATGCAGCGACCAAAGCTGATTGGAGAAGAGACAGCACAGTCAAGAGATCAGAGGTAAGGTAAATAGAGATTTCATTTTAATAATGGTCGGTATGAGTGGTTTCCATGATTAATGCCTGCATGGAGACAACTCCCTTAAGGCATAATTAGAAGTACCTTTAGCACAATACACATACTACTGTCGCACACAGTAGAAGCAAGCTGGTAGAATACAAATGGTGTATTTTCAAGTGTGCAAAAACTACCTTAATAAGGATTCAGTCTTTCCATGCGTGTTGTGTAGTGCAGATTTTTAACTTCATGTTTACGATTTCTTTGCAACTCTAGTGAAATGGGTAAGCAAATCTTACCACCCTATGGTTAATAGGAACCAGTCTATAATTAAGACTAGCTTGTGCATTCTGTCATAAGTAGAAAAGAATGAGAAACCCATATCTGAATTCCACATCATATGAATCATACACATGAATCATACATTCCCCTCTGGAATAATTCCATTGTAAATGCTGTGGCACTGTTGTGATGCGTAGTGCTAATACAAGGCATATAAAGTACTACTTCTCAATAATTTTATGTTTTCATAGGAAATAAATTGCACACTGGTAAAAAGGCTTAAGGCTTTTCAGAGGAATTAATTCATTACTATTTCTTCTACTTTATAAAGGTAAACTGGTGTAAATTGATGGAATAAAAACAAACTACTTGGCAGTAACATAGAAAGTGTGTATAGTTTACAGAGGACATGTTGCTCTCATGCAGTCATCAAAGCTTCCTAAGAAGGAGATCACATGCACTATCTTCTGCTGGTGTAACTGTTTAAATAGCAGTAGCTTTGAATAACATGTATTAATTACTTTTTGTAGCCTTATTGTTTTTCATGTTTTTTCTATTGAACAGATTTCTTGTCACAATGTGCGTAGGTTTAGAATTGCAATATTTTCACTTTTACAGCTGGTAAACTCTGTTTGCAGCTCTTTTCATGCTTTTTTTCATGTAGAAATGGAAATATTTGTTTATATAACAAGATTTTCACAATAGAAATGCTTTTTCCCCAAAGTTAAAAAAAGGTAGAGTTAAATCAGCAGAACATATTTACTTTAAATCTCACAATAAAAGGTAGTATCATTTCTGTCTGAATTCTACCATAAATGTTTCAACTTCACAGGCTACCCAGAAGTGACGTGGACCAAGCAATAGAAGTTAACCATCCTTTTGATGGAACAGGCATGTTAGATGAAGATGAAGAGAATTTTCAGAGAGCCCTGGCTTTAAGTAGGCAGGAAATTGATATGGAAGATGAAGAAGCTGATCTTCGCAGAGCCATTCAACTCAGCATGCAAGGTGCAGTGCTCATCTAAATTTCTGTTACAGTGGTCATGTTGCTTGTGCTTTGGGCAGCTACTAAAATCGGCTTCAGTCAGCCACTTTCTCCAGCGTGCATAAAGCTGTCTGAAAAGACAGACTTTGAGGCATGGAAGGACAATCTGGAATGTCCCATAGCTATTTCCCTTCTGCTTTTTGAAAAGTTGCAACTTTCATGTTAGCATGATGTTAGCCTTGATCATTAGGAAGCAAGAACAAATTGGCAAAGGGTGGTACGAGGGAAGAGAAACAGTCCTAAGGTGAGGAGGAGAGATAGTATCAAGTGAAGTTATCCCAGGTGCTTATTCCTCCAGCAAGTCTCTTTCTTCCTCTCAAGTTTGAATACATTTTCTTGAGCTACATTTAATTTCCTAACTTCATTTTACTGTAATCAGTAGGATATGGCATGTTCTGGTTTTAGGTAGTCGTCGAAGTCAGTTCTCGGACTCATTACCACAGAATGTTCCTCAGTCGCCTCATACCAGTCAGACAGACTCCCTTTCTTCAGAAGAACTGCGAAGGAGAAGACAAGCATATTTTGAAAAGTAAAGTAGTTGCTAGAAAACTGCATGGGGAAGTACATGGTGTATTTTTCAGTGCTTTTTGGGGTGTGGCTGGGTTTCTGACTGAGGTTAACTTTTATCTCTTAACACGGTTTTCCTAACATTACCTGAATTTTGCTATTCCCAGGTGGTTCCTGTGAAGAAACCTGTAAATAAGAGGGGATCTGTTAGTAATGTAAAATCAGTCTTGTGAAGAAAGAAAACATACATGTTGTAGAAGTCTTTTAAATGAAATCCTGTAAATTTCTGTAATTATCTTCCTGAAGAAAAGTATTCTTTCTCTAAGACTTTGCTTCTGGTGATGATGCCTCTAATGCATGTCACATGAAAGCATTCTCAGTGATATTTTATGTTGCTGTTCAGGAGTACCTTCTTAATACACAGTTGGGGTAGAGTAGCTGTTCTGTATCTCTGTCTCCTAGTGATGGAGGAAATAAAGACCAGGGAGAAATGCTATGGATTAGAGGAGTTAGACTTTGCATGAGAAGATGAGAATGAAGGACAGCTGAATTCTGGGAAAAAAAAAAGTTGCATGGCTTGGAATATAATGTTGGGAAGATAGGAGTCTGAAGGTTAGCACGATGGAACGATTAAAGAGATTTTAGGTGCAGGTGTCTTATTGTACCAAACAGCTTCTACTTCTTACTCTTGGCCTTCCTTACAATGAGATGGACTTGACGCAGGTCTCATACTGATGTTAATCTTACTCTCGTATAAATTTGTAATACTTTCAGGCAGCAACAGCAGCTACAGCAGCAAGATCAGACCCCAAACATACATGCTAAGCCAACTCAAAGCTCAAGCACTCTGGAAGCCGATCCAGGTATTGTTTTTTAAACTTATTTCCAACACTGAAATATGTCTCTCTCATCTTTGTGTTGTGCAACTTTCCTTGTCTGCCTGCTCCCTTGCTTCAGCAGCCGTCCAGACTATGTATCACAGCCGTGACTCTCTTTGGCAGTGAAGCAAAGGGTTGCTTTCTTGAAAAGCCTGTTCTGCATTGAATGTCAATATCCTGTTTCAAAGTGAAGAGTGTTACTGTTAAACCATTTAAGTTCTGGCTTGGCTTTTTGTTGTTTTGTTTGGCTTGAGCATAAGAAATTGTAATCTTTGGGATTTGCACCAACCGTTTTTTTAGATTGCAAAGTAATAAACTACTGGAACCAGTTTCCAGTATGTAGGCCTTCCAGTATGTTTCCAGTATTGAGCTTGGGTGATCCAAAATTAATGTGTATTACTTGTTACCAACTGACCATTGTGGAGGGGAAGCTAAGTGTGAAATGTTCAGTGATTTTTAAAAAAACTCACAACCAAAACCAGTATTGGGGGTGGGGTGGAAACAGGTGGGTGTGGACAAAAGGAACAAAGAAAGCATTTAACTATAGTTGAAAACTTCCTCTTTGCATTAATTACAACTTCAATGCATTTATTTTCTTTAGGAGGTGATATGAGTGAAGAAGACATGCTTCAGGCAGCCATGAATATGTCTCTGGAATCTGTTAGAAACCACTTGAATACAGAAGAGGAGAAATGACAACTTTTTTTTCCCTCTTATTGTCAACACACTAAGTCTCCATTATAACTTTACTGTGTGGATGTTGCACAAGCAGGGTTCATTTCAGAGTTCTGGAAGCAGGAAAGAAAAGGGAAGCTGGAGGTCAGAGTTTAGAGGGAATCTGCAAATACAAAGAAGATTGCACTGATTTAGAAAACTGTAGCACTCCTATTACAAAACATGTTCCCAAGAGTAGCTGTATCAAAATTACTTAAACTCATCACGTGAACAAAGTTAGACACGTGTAGCAGCTGTAACTTGCATTTAAAAAGCAAGTTTAAATTATTCTGAAGAATTCTATAGAAAATACAAAAGGTGCTGAAAAGTACTCTTGTACTTCAGTACTAATGGAAAAATAGATAAAAGTAGTAAGTTCTACTCGTAAATGACTAAGGCCTTTATAAGTAATCACTTAAAATGGGAAAAAGAATTAAATTCTGTTTATCTTAGATAATTCATGTTGTGATTGCTTATTCCGAGTGACTTCATGTCAACTTTTCGATCCTGCTGTCCACTTCTGAAATGACCCATTCTGCAGGAGAAACATGAATCCATAAATTTCATACTTTGCAATTAAAGAGAAGATCTTTAGTGTATTGTTGATTATGATACTCCTGAGTCTGTCAGTTACTTCTGACCTTCTGATGCTTTCTGGTTTTACTTTCAGTTACAACTGTAAAATTTTCAGTTCCATGTTTAAAGTAGGATTTTTGCATTGCCCTGTTGTCTTTTGGCAGGTAACTTGCCTTCTTTTGTTTGGATTTTTTTATTTTTGTTTTCTTATGCTCTTTCTAGTTATGACACTGTTTTGACTATAAAAGTAGCATATAATCAGTTGGGTTCAACAGGTTTTCTTTTCTACCTCCTCTGGAGTCTTTTTTTTTTCCTCTTCAAGCTCAACTCTTCATTCTGCAGTATGAAAGCTGTAACTGAGTCTAGGAGAGGGGAAGGAGAAGGGGGTTTAGGTGCCATAAAGTCAGTGCCACACACATAAGGTGCATTCCTGCAGTCTGAAATGACCCCTGTGCAAGTAGCTCGTTTAAGAATGAATATTTATGTCTGTGTGAATGTTCCTTCTGAAATGCTTTCTATGAGTGTCTGTCAGAATGTTGCAGCTTTTTCAGGAATGGCCTTTATTCATGCACCTTACAATTTTTTATCATGCTGTTTCTGATCCTGAGAAAATGGGGAGCAAAGTATGTGAGAGAGTTTATTCTATTGGTTGTGAGACATTTGCTTTGATATCCGGGATGAATGTGTAACAGGGTGACCAAACCTGACTTTCAACTTCAGTGCAACAATTGAGATGATTCATTTTCCTAAATGGTGCTTGAACTACAAATTCTGTTTACACATAAATTATATGGGGAATATGTTGTAGATAGAGTATGTAAACTCTAGTCCACTTAATGCATTAACAGTTAGTACAGGCATTCGGAGAATCTTTTGAGGATTACCCCAGATTTCTTTATCAAAATATTCTAAAGTTCTATCATTGCACAACAGTAACATTTAATTGAAATTAGTATGAAATGAATGGTAGCTAGATGGAAATATACATTCAGCATCAAGTAGTACTGTACATGAAAGGGCTTTTACCTCCCAGCAAAGATTTGTTTACAGCAATGGTTTCTTGATAGCTTAGGATATTATTATATTATACACGATTGAGCTAAATTCTGTTTTCCTCACCTATTTGCTGAATTTCCACCAATGTTACCAGAACCAGAGGTATATCTAAGACCATACGGATTTTGACAGGAGACAGCATTACTTTTTAAAGACTGATTTTAAAATTTGTCTTTTTAAAACAATCTTTTTATGCACATTATAATTAGTATCTGTAATGTCTCAAATTAATACAGCTAAACAATGGCTTTAAAAGTCTGTGTGTGCATATGCCATTTAAAAATGCTATTATTTTTCAGGTTGTAAGTTTCTGCTTTCAGTTTAAAATTTATATGAAACTGAAAACAGCAAAGGAATCTGCAAAGCACTGAATTATTTCTCTGCTCATCTGTAAATTATCCACAGCTTTAATTTCCCTTCTTTTGTTGTGCCATAAACTGATTCTGAAATAAGACTTTCCTTTTTATAAATAGGTATAGGCTGGCAATTTGATACCAGAACTTGGACCTTTTACCCTCTAAGAATATAATAAAAATGTATTATTTCTATAGCTATATAGTGTAGCAGCCCTATATTAAAAAAAAAAAATCTAAGTCCCTTGAATTGCATTAACTGTAACCCATGGCAATGACATGTTTTTATAATCACTAAAGCATGGAGGTTTACCTTTGAACTTTCATGTCATTTTGTAAGTTACTTCATCACCCAAGTGTTCTGATACATGAAGAATATACAGGAACAGTGCCTGAAAAGCACAACTGTGTCAGTCATTACAGGGCTTACCCTATTCCTTTCTGTGTCGAAACATTGTCATTCTACAAACACCAATTTTATTTTCAGAAGAATGTCAAGGTTAATGAAGTAGGTGCATCTGCCTAGTGAAGCAGTTAAGAGGTAGCGATTTAAGCTATGTATGTTAATTGCACCAAAGGAAAAGACTAATACTAATTGCTGCAGTACATATTTATAACCCAGACCTAAAGTTCAAAATGTGTGGACCTGCTAAGAAGCTGTCAATAAAAAGCTGATGTCATTTTTTTTGGTGTGCATTCTTTCAGTGATGAACAGTTCTCAACGTGGCTGAACTATGCTCATCAGGCGTTTACTAATTTAGGGCCTGTTCCTGGTGTTATCTACTCTGTCAAGCTGACGGGTTTTTTCCCACGTTGTAGCTTCAGGCCAAAGTCCATTGTGAAGTAGCAGTTTTATTACAGTATGATATTTGAGGGAACTTCAGATTTCATTCATCCAACAGATTTTTACAGTCTTTCTCACTGTGAACGGTCCATGTGACGTAATTTGTGGTTTTCTGCCTATAAAAATCAAAGGGGTTTTAGGGGAATGAGTAATATTTTGTTAAATATCTTCCAAAATTATTTCTGTAAGTGTAATTCTGTAAACTGCTTTCGTGGTCTTGTAATGAGGGCAGGAGGGAAAAGTGTTGTAATGCAGTCATGCTTGAATGCAATTCCTGTTAGGTACAGCAGCTGTAAATAGGAGCTATTTAAATGCTCACATTTTTCTGGGCTTGACACTAATCTGATACAATACTGGCTTACTCTCCAACATTCGGACTCCTAGTGCCCTTCAAACAACTTCAGCAAGTTTAAATGTATCTTTTGGCAAATATACTATTATAATTTTTCATACTTGGTTAATTTGCAGCCTACTTTAATACAAAGTTAAATCACTGTGTTTTAATGCACTATTGCTTCTATTACAAATCTGTAAAATGGCAGGGAGTTTAAAATAGCTTCTGCACATCTGCTAAACAGTTTAATTTCTGTATCTCAGACAAATACTGTCATTTGCAGTTGTTACAAAACTGACAATTAGCCTTTCAAAAATGAACGTTACAATTCTAAAATGTCTGAAATTTTCTCATACTTGTTTCAAATATAACGATGAAAACATACAAGTGGTGGCCTTTTTACTGAGAAATATAACAGGGAATAGGATTGGATAACTCCAGAACTCAGACTTACAAAGAAGTATTAATTCAGGTTACCAGCACTTATTTTAAAGGAATGAAAGAAAGAATCCAAAGAAAAGGAAAATTGAAGTGGAAACTGTTCTAAGGATTTAGATAGAAAATGATATTGCTCTTGGTAAGCCATTACTGGCTTGCATAAAACAACTCCTGGGAAATTTTCATAGTTACAAATAATTTAAAATAAAAAGGGAAAAAAGGTCTCTCAGGGGTAATAAATATATACCTTTTCCCCACATACACAATTAGTTGTTCAAATAAGAACAATACTTCATATTAATATTCAATTCTTCAGTTTCAAATCAGTTGCTTGTTTGAGTTATATCCAGGTTTGCATCTTAAGCGTGAACTGCTTTGCAATAAACTTTAAGCTGTATACACACGTTTCGCCTTATTTGCATTTCAGACATGGAGGAAATGCTTTAGTATTTAACCTCCCATAGTCACCTCTTCCCCCCAATTACAGTTCATCAGATTGTTAATGTATATGTGACTTTTCAACCACTTCTACCAAATCTTTTTTTTCCCCCTTTTTCTTCTTTGTTAGGAAAAGCAAATAATTGTTACTACGCTTAAAATTATTTTTCCTACCTGCCCCCGGTATAGCAACTGTGTGAATTTGGGAGGGGAAACTTAAAAGGTTTGAACAGAAAAGGATGTAATATTTAAATATTGGCGTGGGGGGGGTGGAGGAAGAAAAAAACCTTGATATTGTCTTTAAAGCATGCAAGCATTCATTACATTTTATCTTTTGCTACATGAAACCCTGTGTGTACAAAACAGTATAAAGTCAGGATTTTGTATGGGAATAATTTTTTCATCTCTTGCCTAATAGTTGTGTATTTTAGAAATCATTTTCAGTAATAGATTTTTTGTCTTGAGACTCTGCTTTCAATATCCTGTCTTTGGCTCTGGATTCCTGTACAATTTTTGTCTCTATTTTGTGTATATAAAGCGTATAATACTGAGAAGATTAAAAAAAGGAAAGCTGAAATGCTTTGTCATTGTTTTGACTGGAAAATGGCAGTGCTGTTTGATATTTTGAAAATGCTCCCCAAATAGGCACAAATATATATGGTTGTATTTGATATCATTTTTTAAAAATAAATATTATTATAGCTTCTGATGTTTCTCTCTTGACCTGAGTATGTGCAGATGGGCTTTCCCTTTCTATGTGGATTGGACACAGAATCATCAAACATTGAAATCTCACCTTTGATACCAATGGGCTTTGCACCACACGTTGAGGATATACATCAGCTGTGGGGTAATTTTCTGTTGCTCACACCTGATGTTTTGTCATCTATGATGCCTTTTCACCTGTTGATATTCAAAATTTATGTAAAGACACTCCTGTCAGGAAGAAAGTTGGTGCTAATTATAGTTATGCTACATCTTTAAAAATTGTGTGCTTTCCAATTTTAAAGTAAGCAGATGTTTGCTGTTTTACTACCAGAATACACAATCTTTTTGTAGCACAATGCACTGTTTTTGTAGCTTAGTCAATTCACAGAATATACTGGATGATTTCTGTCACCAGAAATCACCTATCACCAACAGATGAAGCCAGTCAGCTAAAAATGTGTTGCAATGCTAAACAGTTTCTAGTTTTTCAAGAGTAGTACTTCATTGATTTTATGCCTTACTTGCCATTATAAAATGATCCACAATAGGAGATGTTTTTATCATCTCAAAATATTTTTTTAAAAGTCTGGAGAACATCCCTGATCTTATTTGAAAAATGCTAAGATAGTTTCCATAATAATGAGTTAACCAGACACTACTGGAAAGGGTGACAAACCACCTATATCCTTTGGACCCAGGGTCTTGTAATCTCAAAGACTGTGCGATAAAAATAGCTCTAAAATAGTTGCAAAATCAATCCATCCTTGGATAGGTAAGCCATTCATTTTCTAGCTCTGGAAACAGTTGTGAAATCTTTCTGGATACAGCTTGGGGAGCCAGGATCTTCTCGAGCTGCAAGGAGACTGGGACATTATTCATTGTTCAAAATGGGGTTAGGAGAGTTTATAATGATCATGTCAGATTAGAGCTCATCTCCCGAGGAAAGCATTGTTAATTGTATGATGCAGAAGTCCTGAGAGTCTGAAGTCACTGACTTGGGAAACTGAAGGAAAGGAATGGAGGAAAGATGAAGCAGCCAAAAAGTCTGAGCTCCTCTCTGAAACTATTGAGATTTCAGCTGTGAAATGCTCTTTTTCTTCAGCTTCATTTTACCATTGATGTAGTGCTTTAATTATTCATCTTTTTATGGAGTTATTAATTTGAAGCTAGCAATGAGCCAGCTGCTCTGTATTTTATTTCCATTACTGACTATTTTTTATATCAGTATTGTTCTTACTGTTTTAATACTGCATTTTCTGTAGCAGTGCAGTCCTCCTTGTAGGCCCTAGTAATTTTAATTTTCAATTTCATTTGATCAAAACAAAAAAGAACTTTGACTCAGACCCATGTTGGGGTTGTGGCTGGAAATCCAACCAAGCATAGAATCATAGAGTGGTTTAGGTCAGAAGGGGCCTTAAAGATCATCGAGTTCCAAGCCCCCTGCCACGGGCAGGGACACCTCCCATCAGACCAGGTTGCTCAAAGCCCCATCCAGCCTGGCCTTGAACACCTCCAGGGATGGAGCATCCACAGCTTCTCTGGGTAACCTGTTCAGTGTCAAAACCTTTAGAGTGAAAAATTTCTTCCTGATATCCAAGCTAAATCTATCCTCTTCAAGTTTGAAGCCATTACCCCTTGTCCTATAACTAAATGCCATTGTAAAAAGACCTTCTCTGGCTTTCTTGTAGGCACCCTTCATCTAGATGCGTTCTAGATTTCTTCCCCAATTGCAATCGAACATCCACACTAATGAATAAATTTCCACTAACAAAGTTAGTATTTAAATTTACATGGTTTCCCTTAGGAAATTATATCTTTTGAACCAGCACTGTAAGAAAAGCAGCGTGGAGAACGCCTGCGTTTATACACCTAGCTGCTATTCACACCAATACAATTTACATGTCATATTGAAACATAAAAAGCCACCAGCTTTTACCTAATTTCTAAAAGGTCAGTTTGTTCCTGTACATGCACGAGCACGCATATGCCGAAGAAACCCAAACTACCCAATGTGATTTTCGCCATGTTTGTGAACAGCCTATTTGAGGAAGGTTGATCGCTAAAGCAAGAGTATCCAGGAACAGAATTACATGGGTTTGTATTAGATAAACTGGTATGGTAGATGGTGTCACCTTTGTAAATGAAAGCGAGTCTTCTGGGGATTTTATGCCTTTATGTGGGGGGCAGGGTTGGTGTTTTGTTGAGTGTGATATTTTGTGGACTTTGTGGGATTTGGGTGGGTATTTTTCTGACAATTTAGTGACTGTTTTGTCTGTTTCATGGAACTAATTCTTGTTTTGAAATTTCACATGAGATTACTGAGAAGCACACAACTGTCATGTCAGGGCAAAGTCCCAAATGAAGAACACGTTCACTGATGTGAAGTAGTTATATTTCCATTAATTTAAAGCTTAAATTTGTACTTTTTTGTTAGTTTTGTGGTGTGACTTTAAGCCCCATGTGAGGCACCTCAGGGGAACACCCACCCCCCAGCTCGAGGGCCAGAGTGTCTCAGGAACTCGCCAATTTCGTAACAAACGCATATTCGCATACTAAGGCCTCTATTCTCGGGGCAGCGGGACGCGGTGTCTCGATAGAGCGGGGTGACCCAGCTACGTGAACGAAGCCGGGCTGAGGTACCCCCTCCGCCACCGCCGGCCGCCATCACCCGCCGCTCCGCCGCTATCCCGGCATCCCCCGCTGCCGCGCTCACGTGACGGCGGCGGCGCTCTGGCCGGCAGTCGGTGGTGCCGGGGGCGGGGGTGTTATGGCTACCGTTGAGGTGGCAGAGGCCGGAGCCGCCGGGAGGAGCCGCTGAGCCGCGCCGCGGGAATGCGGGCGGAGGGGCGGCCGGGACCGGCCTAGCTGAGCCCTGCAGCAGAAGCATTGGCCCTCCCTAGCCAGGAGAAGAGAAGAGGCGGTCGAGTGAGGCCCGGAGCCCTCTCGAGCGGGCGGCGATGGCGTCGTGGTTGGGCGGGCTGGGCCAGTCGCTGGGGCAGGTGGGGGGCAGCCTGTCGTCGCTCACCGGCCAGATCTCCAGCTTCACCAAGGACATCCTGCTGGAGGGCACCGAGGAAGTGGGCGGTAAGGAGGGCTGAGGCGCTCCCCCCGGACTGCGTGGGGGCGGTTTTGGGGGTGTGTATGTTGTGTGTGTTTGCCTCCCCGGTGCCTCCCCGCCCGAGGAGGCCGCTGGGGTGAGGGAGACCTTCCTCCGGCCGCCGGTTTCCTCAGGGGCCCTGCGGCCGGCCGGGAGGCAGCAGTCCTGCCCAACCCAGGCTTGGTGCCTTTCGGGAGAGCTGCTGGCCCTGTTTTCGTTTTTATTCCGCCTCTCTGACCTCAGGATCCCGAGAATAAACATATTCCGAGGCTGTGATAGCAGAGGTCAACCCCTTCGAAGTTTATTATTCGGAAGTTTCTGAGTTGTGCGAAGCGTTGTGTTGATCAGTAATGAAAGCACGCAAACAGCGGTCTTCTTCCATTCTGTTTGCTTAGTTTATTTAAAACCCTGTTTGATTAGCCGCTTTTAGAGTGATTTCCTAAAACTGGAGTAGTAGCAGTCCGCAGTTGTTTTTTTTTTTTTTTGCCACGGGTGTGATCTAAGTGTGACGTGTCACACAGGCAAGGGCTCGGAGTTTCTCATGGTTTTGTTGTTTATTTTTCTGTTGGGCTCAGAGAAACCTGTCAAGTTCTGCCATTCTCCTACAGCCAAGTAGGAGAATGGGGCCCTTCTTTATAGGAATTAGAAGCTGGGATGATTTGTATTTCAAACAGAAAGCTGCAAAAAAAGAGACATCAAAGTAAGATATTAATAAAGTAAGAGTAAATGTGTTCTAGACTGTAGTCTTTTCTTTATATTTGAAATAATACTTTTTTGTTATGAGTTTTTGAATAAAACTTTCAGTTTTTCTAGTAAAGCAGCTGTATAATGTGTCAATAAATATCAACAGGTTAATACCAATAGTATTGTTTACCATGTTGAAACTATAGCTTCTTGAAAAATAAAAAAGAGCATTCGCGAACAGTGTTAGGAATAGCGACCACAAAGAACATCTAAGACTCATCTTAAATGTGAAATTAAACAGTTCTGCTTTGCAACTTCACAACTATGAAACGTTGTGAAAGTATTGTATAAAACTTGTTGGCAAGCTGATACTACTGGTCTAATATGGATGGGGTTTTTGGTATACAGGTGAAATGTTTGAAAGAGAGAAATTTATTCTGATAATTGCGAAGTTACCTTTTTTCCCACTTTTCTGAAAGACTTGCTTTGAATTGTTTTAAACTCCAAAATCCATATTAGTTTAGTTTTGAAACTTGTTTTATGCCACTAAACTGTGAAGTCATCTAGTGCGTTTGTTTTGCCTTTATAAAAGATCAGCTGAGATTCTGATTCATGCATTTGTACTTTAGTTTGTGCGAGAGAGATCTGCTGATGTTCAATAGTTACTTCCAGTTATACCTGACTGCTAGATACTGCTGTGATCAATTTCTGTTTCCTAAAAACGTTAGAGTAGTAGATTTTTGTGGGCTACTAGCCTTGAGGGTGTAAAAATCTAGTAGCATCTAAGTATTCTTCCATAAAGGCCTTTAATACTATGTGGCCTAAAGAACACTTTTTAAGCAGTTCATTACTTTTTTTTTTTTTAAATTTCCTAGTTTTCTAAAGTTTCCTCATTTTTAATACTGTCCAATACATTCACTACTTTGCCATCTGAACTGAAGATGGTGTTTGTGAATTGTTGACTTTAACATCTTCAGTGTAGCAGTTTTCATGGGTAGATTATTGCCTCTGCAGCACCTGAGCTGCATCAGTTTTAAATAGCACATAGGAAATGTTGAAATACAGTTTTTACTTGAAAATTGTATTGATTTCAAATTTTGGAAAAAAGTCAAGGTTGCTTTATAGTAAATTCAGAATAATTTCTCATTAATAAAAGGAAATGTGGTGTTTATATCTATTAAAAGTGGGACATGAGAGAAGTAAACAGCCTATTTGAGGAA